AGGATATCGAAAAACTACCGAATGAACTATCAATCGCGAGGTAGTTTTATCCTCGTAGTTTCCGCTAGACCTAATCAGACCTAGTTCGGATCCTGTTCGGATATTGGTCGTGTAGAGCACTCAGCCGTTACATTAATTCATTTTAACTCTAGTACGCTCTTAGAGATACTATACTACTTATTTCCTTAAAGTTTTTATAATAAAAACTTATTTTTTACTAAATCTTTTTCTATCACTAAATAATTTTAACCCTCTTCTTAAATAACTTACTTTTAAGCTACCAAACCTTCTAATGTTTCTTTAATGACTTTTTTCTTAATTAACTCTTACTATCTCTCTAGTTAAATGACTAAAAATATAGTATAATATATAATTAAGCTTAAAAGATTAGAGAGATAATCCATAACTAAGTAGAAGTAAGCTAAAATTCAATTAGTATATAGGATTAATTAGAGAAGATACCTATCTATCTATAAAAGGGAATCGTTATACATACTATAAACTAGTCACGTGATACTATACTATAATATAAAACTTAAATATAAGATATATAACTTAAAAAATAATCTAAAAGTAAGCTTAATACTTTAGCTTATCATTTACTTTAAGATACTTTTAACTATATATATTAATTTACTCCTAATATATACTTTATTAAGAATTAGAAAATATTTAATACTTATTCTAAATAAACGAGATAAAGGTATAGAAAATAAAACTACTATACTTCTTTTATAACAAATTTACTAGAATAGTAGTATTAAGAAAGAACTATAAGTAATATAGTATAGAGTTATATAGCCTATAGTAAATGGATTCTTTATATTAGTATTTAATAGTTTTAATAGATAGCCTTAGCGACTATCACTATATTTTATAGTTTGTAATATCCTAATAAATCTTATTATAGAAATATTACTCTAAAGACCAAAGTCAAAAATGCTTTTATTTATCTATAGATAATCTAATAGATTACAAAGTATAATTTTATAATTATATTAGGGTTATATTACTAAGAGGTAAGATTAAATTAAAGTTAGAGTAAGAGTTACATAAGAACTAACCTAACCTAAACCTAAACTCTTAGTAACATCACTCGAACATAACCTCTACCTATTTACTAGCCTAGCCAACGACTTAGTAGAGTTAACGACTTAGTGCTAAAACACGTTATTATTCTTTATTTAAACTCTACTATTCTATATACGAAAGCTGACTAATAAGTAGCTTAAAACTAGAAGTTTTATACTACTTCCACTCGAGCTATGAGCTTAATATTAACCTTCCCATCATTTGTCAAGGATAGAATCCTTCTTGTTACTTGTAACACCGCTCGCATGGGTGAGCCGCTTGCTGATGAACCACGTCATCACCCGATAGCATTCTTTCTCCTCATTACAACCTTTGTTTTAATCCATGTTTTAATACTCTATCTAGTATTTAGAGATATATAAGGTGATGGGGGGTATTGTGTATTGATAATCTTGAACTCCTAATGAAAACTACCATAATAGTGATTAATTAACGCGATGTGTTGGTTATCCGAGGGTAAAGGACCATTGCCACTCGCGCACTACTTGTTCCCAGTCACGTTTCCGCCCACCTTCAAGCTTTGGCCGCCAAACTTCCTTTAAAACCTTCTGGACACACTCTACATTCTCATAGCGATTGCGTTTCTGAATATTGTCTAGTCTTGTAAAGCATTGCTCAATAGCTGCTTCATCGTCTAGCTCTGCGCCAGCTAGAAATATTGGGTAGAGTAAGCTCGATTCAGCAGCACTTCCTGGAGGGATACGAGCGATGAAATCCATGGTTCGAGATGCGCAACCAGGAATCAGATGGGAGTGGCTTGTTGAAGTACGATAAAGTTGAATGAGGGCAGCAAGACGGTAGGCTTCTGCGAGTGAAACGAGATCGAGTGCTATGGTGGCGTCGACGCCCAGTGCGAAAGGATTGTCGTAAGTCCAGTGTTGTATGCCCTGCTCTATTACATGGAAAGAAGCTTCTGTAGTCAGCGGAAAGGCTGGGGTTGAAACATTGATGTATTGGATGCGGGAAATAAGGTCACAAAGCTGGTAGGAGATGCCCATGAGAGGATCAATGGTGCCTGGCATAAGGGCGGCACTGATGGAGAGCAAGCCTTGGTCAGGTGAGCCAGACTTTCCTAGATTGGAAACGCGAGCCATGAGTGAGGCAGAGGCGAAGTGGTATGTAAAGTGCCGATGTAGGGAGTCGACCTCGACACAATCCATGATACTCTGCTCTGGGGAAAGTGAGTTCAGAATGCGCTGAACACTCTTCAACTGAGAAATCCATTTAGTCGTCTTGACGCCATTGAGAGCTTCTAGGCCTACCAAGATCAAGATGACGGCCGTGACTTGATAGGTATCCTTTGGTAGTCCACCCGAGGGGGATAAGCGCTCTCGAATAAAGTCGTAACACTTCTTCTCATGGCGGGTTGAGACTGCTCGCAGATGGCTGGCACGATGAGCGTCTTGGCTTCTTCGAGCCAGCTGAGCGGAGGAAATGGCGAGGATGGCATCTAGCATGCCTTCAATCTGAAAGGACCAAGGCATGTAGAGACTGGTGTAGAAACTGGTGGGTATCGGGGCTACCTGGACACTGGGCACGAAAGCCTCTACGTAGTACTGTAGCAAATGTATTCTTTCGGCTCTGTGGTCACCAGGCAGGGCATCCCATGGATCGAGGCCAGGGCGTAAAGAAAGCGCTGTGTGGAGATTGGGGCTTTTGGAAGCCGATGGCGGAGAAGGCGGCTCCGAGACAATTTTGCGTGGAGGCTGCCACTCGCACTTGAGATTGAGTCGTGCACAGTTGGCACACTGAGGTTGCGCGTTATCGCATCTTTTGCGCCGAGTTCGACATGTCAAGCAGCCTGTGCGTGACCGGGGAGCAAATTTGCGCTGGCGCGGCTTGGGCTCAGCCATGGTCCGAAGGCTCAGGAAAAGGTGAGGGGCTCGTCTGAGATAGTCACAGGAGAGGCATGAGGATGGGCATGGCTATGCAGATGCTGGGTGTTGTCGGCGGGTTGCAATGGTGGGCGGATCGACTGTCGCGATGGTGGGTCCGGTATCGATAAGCACGCGTGTGACTAATCGGAGCGACGGAGACTTGGAGAGAGGAGGCGGCCGTTGCACGTGCATGGGCGGTGAAGTGGGTTGGTTGGGTTGGATGCATCCTCACCACCACCACCACCACCACTGCTGGGCCTGCACGTGCACAACCACCACAACGCGGCCACCGGATCTGAGTATATATACCTACCTGTGCACTGATATGAAGAGACACAGGCACGCATTGCATTGCTCTCACTATCGGCACGAAGAATCCCGCCCAGTCGACGCCGCCGTGCGACGCAAGCCAGCCAGTTGCTGGTCTTGCCCCCACGTGTATCGAGTACCTGAGCATCCTTACCGCCTTAGGAAGCATCGCCTTGTCATCATCTCCGATACTAACGCTCTTGGTCAACTCGAGAGCTTCATGCACCATGGGTATATGGCCGCCGTACTTGTATAAGAATGCATACATGTTCGCAGTACCATGGCTTCCGTAGTCCCCGTCCGCCTCTCCACTCCCATCGACGGCCATGAAGCTTCTCGCATTGGCTCTTGCAGCCAGCAGCACGGCAGTTGCCGCCCAGCAGGACTTCAACATCTTCCAGCACATTGGCGGCAATGCGCAATGGTATCCGGGCGAGGAGACAACCGGCATCTCATCCGAGGTGCCTGAGGGATGCAAAGTTGATTTGGCAGGTAAGCAACGTTGTTCCGCTGCCTACCAGACCATCGGATCAGCCACACTAACACCTTTCCAGCTTTCTTCTCTCGCCATGGTTCGCGCTACCCGGACAGGGGGGCCTACAACGGATGGGTAGAATTCTCAAAGTACATCCAGGCCGCCGGTAACTTCACCGTCACCAACCCCAAGCTTGCTTTCCTCAAGACTTGGAAGCCTGTCTTGTCCAACCCCGAGGCTCAAATTGCCAATCTGAGCCCAACTGGCTGGAAGGAGCTCCACGAGATGGGCACCACCTGGCGCCTTCGTTACCCCGACTTGTACGAGTACAACACTCCCTTTACCATGTGGTCCAACTACTACACCTCCGGGCCCCGTGTACGAGACAGCGCTCGTCTTTTCGCACAAGGCTTTGTTGGTCCCAATGCCACCGACCTCACCACCATTTATGCTCTTAATGCAAGCAATCCTGCTAGCTGGGGAAACTCTCTCGCCCCTAGCGACCTTTGCAAGGCCTACGACGACGAAGGCGGTAGCCCTGTCAAGCCAGTATGGGACTCGATCTACCTAACACCAATTGCCGCAAGGCTCAATTCCCAGATCCAAGGAGGCTTGAACTTGACCAACGGCCAAGTCGATCAAATCCCATATCTGTGCGGGTTCGAGACACAGATAACTGGCCGGCGTAGCCCATTCTGCGACATTCTGACCGAGGAAGAGATTCTGCAGTACGAGTATGCTCAGGACCTGCGCTACTGGTACGGCACGGGTCTCGGCTCAGATATCGAGAAATACCAGATGCTACCAGTCATCGATATGGCTGTACAGCGGTTTGTCGATGGTCCGAATGCAACCTACAAGACTGTCAACGGGACCTTCGCTGCACCTAACATCATGGCCAACTTCGCAAACGATGGACAAATCAACCAGCTTGCTGCCATGATTGGTGTGTTTGACAGCCAGCCTCCACTTCCCGGTAACGTGTCGCTCTCTGATCGCCTGTTTCGATCCTCTCAAGTAGTCAAGATGCGTGGAACAGTTGCTTTTGAACGCTTGTCATGCCCAGCCGCTGCTCCCAACAGTACCTACGTCTACCACCATAGGCGTAACGGCACAGCTCTGAACGATGTGTACATACGCATCCGCATCAACGATGTTGTTTACCCTGTCACAGGATGTATTAGTGGGCCAGGTTCTTCCTGTCCCTTGTCCCAATACCAGCAAATCATCCAGAGAAAGCGAGCTGAGGCTGGCGATTTTACCAAGATTTGCAACATGACTGATGCCAATCTTGCTTCTCAGCCAAAGGCGACTTTCTTTTTCGACAACACACTACCTTGGCAGGTAGTTGTCAAGGCCTGACCATGTCACCTGCATGTACATACTGTATAGAGAAAGCCACTGAAGCGGCAACGCAACACCTTTTATAGTAATACTAACACATCTAATGACGGCAATTTGTGTCCTTGTGGCGCACCCTCGCTTCCATCTTCGCCGCAGTCGCGCCCTATTCCTCGCTGATACCACCTCTCAATGTGAGTCATGTAGTAGCCATGTTCTCTATTGACGCTCGGTCTTTGACATGCAAAGGGCGCGCGTAACTGCTAGCCCACGTCTCGCTTAGCAAATCTCGACAAGGCGCGCGCCCTACGCCCAACCTGTCAATTCTAGTGTTCCACGCATTGCTCACTTCTTGCTGGGATGTATCCAGTAGGACACCGCACACGACCCCTGCATCGCCACGGTCAAGTTACCCGGCTTTCGGGTGGTTGGCTGCAGAAACCAGGTAACCTCACATCACTCATCGTTTGTAAAGTTAGCCGCATCCCAAACTGGAAATGAGTGGCTTAAACATCATGCACGCTACTGGCTACACTGTGGGGACGTGGAGGTAGGCCAGTTTCCGCTCGAGCCATGTCCAACCTTGAGACATGACGACTGAGAGATTTGTAACATTTGGCATAGCACAAAGGCGTGATCGTGTAGAATGATGTAGTCACCAGGTAGGAGCTTGCAGAGCTTGGCTAAGTACCAGCGAACGGTAAAGTAAAGGGTCGTATATAAAGAAGTGTGACGCCGACCCAAGATCACCAAGATCCATCATTGGGACCCAAGGTGATACAGACGCAATCGCGCCCACACACGGATTGCACTGGGGTACGGCTACACGCGGGGACGACATACAGTAGTATCCCTGAACTGGACGAATCATAACCTATATTTCCTTTTCCTGCCCTTTTCCGGCAATCATCACAATCAACACAATCAACACGCCGCATCGTAATAAGAGGGAACAGGGCCACCCAATTCGCCTGCAAAACCTTGAGCCCGAAATACCCACTCGGCAGACGAGTAGCATATCAGACTACAACAACCCCACAAGACCTTCGCCCGCCATGTCCACGTCCACAACAACAACACCTCGCACGTCGACCGACAAGCTGAACTCATGGAAATCGCTTTCTTCTGCTATATCCGTCCGCTCCTCTGCATGTGCATCTACGCTGAAAGAGCCAAGCAAGACACGAAGCCTTTGGAACTCTATCAAGCGACATACACAAGAACACCATCAAAGCCTGAACGCGGCGTATGCGACATACTATGGTCAAGGAAGTTATCTGGATGAGCATTGCGGTGCAAGGAACCAAGAACACTGGCGATATCGACGTGGTGGGAATGCCTAATCCTCATCTTTCCGGTGGTTGGAAAGGGTCGGGACAATTATTCGACCGTCTGAACCTGAGAGATTGGGGAGCTTGGTTGATAAGCCACTTGGCTTCTTCAAGATTTGATTCATCTTTCTTACATTGGCAGCATTTCTGTAGTTTAGCAACACTCAATCGTTTAATGGAAATACTGCACTTCTTCATTCCCCTACACCTTCACTTGGCTAGCCTTCATCATCCCCAACCCTTTATGTCTTTCTTGAGATTATCAATGGTCTCGTGGAAAAGCCATTGTAAGACATAATAATTCAAGTGGTGAAAACAAAAGTGATCAAGGGTGAGCATGGACATTTAAACAACGATTATGGACTGACGAAGTTCAACTCGTAGCTGTGGCGTAGCCCAGAAGCCTGCAAAACTTGCTCAACAATGTGTTGTACCCCTGGAATTCGTGCTGCGCAATAAACATTACAAAGCTAAAGTTACGAACTTCTCGACATATACTACCAAAACAATACAAGAAGTGAACGATAGGGATAAGATTAATACATGGTCAGTGTATGGTGTATTCAGGTGTAGCATGGCGCGCTGTAAATAATGTCCCAATGTGTAGAATTTGTCCACAAATTAAGAGATTGCATAGGAACAGTTGGTGGCGGCGCTTCCCTACCAGTGAGACCTGGTGTTTTTGCTGCCCCTCCCATCTGAGCTGCGTTGTCTAACAACTTACGGCGATGGATTAGCATGCTCTAGAGATTCAGCACAACGCTAGCACAGTGCATCGATACAAAACACCCAAGGTTTTCACTCGAGACTTGGTATGCTGAATTGGATGGTTCTTATATCATAGAAAGACATGGAATCAACTGCAGTACGGGGGCTCGATCTGTGTTGGCCACACGAGACTTGCGTTCACGACATTAGCCGGGGGCCAAATGGGCTAATATCCAAGCCACAACTCCTCAATGGGAGGTTGCGTCAGATCAGTCGAATCATATGGTTTCTCGTATGTGCTAATGTCCATACATCCGACAAATACGATTACCCAATCACATGTTGCCGCCAAATGATGTATGCCTCCCAGCCTCAGCCTCAAATCGTCATGGCGTTGAGCAACTACAACCAAGCAGGTGCTGTCGTAAAACGGAGTTACTGCTTTGGATGTTCGAACGGTCACTGATACTGCAAACGGGGATCCCAACTGTGAGGCCTATCTGAATCCTGGGTTCACGCAAGGCGCATATGATCCAAAATTTGGTCCACTCCATTTCGGGGGAGATGTCGCGTCAAACAGAAGGGAAAATCCGACCGTCAATGCCGCGCAATGGGAGGAGCTCGAAAGAAGATTCGGTCATGTTTGTTGGTATTTGTCTCGCCATAGTGTTCGCTCTGGCAACACCGATGGTTTGGGTCTGGATGAGGGATCGCGTTAGGAGACGCAAACTGGATCCCTTCAGAAAGCTCCACGATCTCGAGCATAACGGGAAGGATCCAGTTCTGAACCCACCTCCATATGAGCGTCCATCAGTTGTCGATTCCATATGGGCAAGGCAAGAAAGGTACAAGACCTCGAAGCCTGCAAGAGCTGTCACAGCCGATCGAGTCTTGGGCATTGACAAAGCTTCGTACCTGCAGCGTATCGTTCCACAGAGCGGTTCGTTGAATCCTCAAAAGCTCATTAGTTTTGACTGATCAGTGTGTGTAGAGGGCTCATCTCAGCTACTCACTGTAGCTCCTGCGCATCTTGGCTGGGCAAGACAAAGGGTCAGTGGAAGTCATGACGAAGAGCAGTGCATTAGCCCCTGGGATGCAGAGCACGCTCCAAATCCAGTCATATTTCCCTGGCTCCAAAAGAGCGGAGCCATTTCAAGGAGCGTCGACTCTGAAAGTAGTAAAGAAAGTCTGCAAACCGTGGCACTAACGAGCATATCAACGCCTCGCACCTCGTCTCCTTCCGAAGCTACAACACGTGTATCTGTCGATGACCCATTCTTGGACTCGCCAATCGAATATTCCGGTTCTTCTCAGAACAGCGAAAAGTCATGTGAATCATCAGATACTGGTCGGGAAGGGCGTGGTGAGTCCGCGCAGCCATGCGATGCAGATGGGTCTGCTTCTGCACAACCCGGAAAGACAGCTGGGTCTTACGATTGCGACGCGTGCCAAATGACGTATCCCACAAAGGGACAGCTCAAGTAAGTCAAGCAATGGAATGCGAATAATGTCTTCATTTACTAAACAATGGGTTTTCAGTATGCATCTCAACCGCAAGCATCGTCGACGCTATCGCTGCCAGCACTGCCCTTCAGCATTCGCGCTAAAAGCCGACTTGCGGAGGCATGAGCGAAGTGTGCACAAGGACATGTACCAAGCACAAGCATTTTCTTGTCCCAATCCGTCATGCGCCATTCCACAAAAGAGGTTTGCACGAAGAGACAACCTCGAAAGACACATACGGCGTTGTCGCAACCGCGAGTCAGGATGAAAATTTGCCAAGCATAGGTTTTTTTTTTCATTTCTCCGAAGACATCACACGACCAAGTTCTACTACCTACCCAAACTGGATGTATTCGCGCCGGACGCCGGGGGAATCTCTCCGCTAGAAATCATGCGTAACCCCTGCAGACAGGTTGTTGAGGGGAGGCGATTGATAAACGGAAGCCATCACACTGCGACTTATTTCCTTGTGGAGGGCAGTGAGACACCTACTACCGACCCATGGGGTCATTTCCTTGGGCATTTTGTTTGTCTGAGGACTGGATGAGAGTTTGCGGAAACCTGTAAAGTTCCGAAACAACTACTGCGGGAATGCGATTGATCCCGGTTTGTCCGGGATCCATTTGCAGAATGTCCGTGTGTTAGCCGAACACCAACTCTACGGGTCAGGGTCAGTCTCGGTAAGACCAAGGACGAAACAATTTGCTGGCCACATGATGGTTTGATCCTGGGTCTGTACTGCGTCGAGTTCCAGGATAGTGCGATTGTGTCAAGGCCAGGTTCAAAAGGACAAATACTTAGTGCTAGCCATGACGGAATTTCAACCATCTCAGGCTTGCCCAAACTGCATTAAAAGCTTTGGTATTTGAACTTTTCGGGGTTTTATTAGCATTAGGGGTGTGCCTACCACATAGGAGCTTGTACAAAAAAAATCTTAGCTAACGAATGCACACCCTATGAGCAACGCCTTTTCGCCGTGTCAAAATGTGCCAACCACAAGGAAATCTAACTTGCATTAAGCACAGTTATTTAGTCAAAAGCCCCCAACCCTTCTAGTAACAAAACAAACGGCTGTAAACGGGTATGCAAGGCCAAGGCCTCACATTCCATGTACATTCTGCAGTGTGCACATAATCGACAGGCTTCCTGCGGCACCGTGCAAAAGTAGTCTGTTCCGTAACTTGTCGCTTGTGTCTACTAGCTTCGGCCCCACCACACAATATGCACGTGCAGGTATACGGGGTGTTCGCGTGCAGACTCGTGCCATGTACATTGACAAGGCGGCATTGTTTAGTCGGCCAGCGATAGATTTTGAGATCCGTCGGGGAAGCGAAAATCGTAATGAGCTGACGGAGTGGACGATGGTTTTGTGGCAGGATTTTCCAGTAATGAGGGGTTCGTGGCACTGATGTCGCGTCTTACTTATAGACATGATGTTGGGTCATACATCATAGGTCCGACCGATATTTCGAAAGAATCTAGCGAGGGCTGCTTGATCCGTGGTATTTGGGAGAGACGCAATGCCCCCCCCCCTCCCCCCGAGCTGCCGTCCAAGTAGAGTGGTTGCGGGTTTACCGGGCGTAGGACAGGCCCGACCGGATAATATGGGACAGTCTGGCAATGTGCGTGATGGCTTGGCCGACTGCACCCAAGTCGGGGTGCATCAAGCCTACTCAGTTGGTTTTGGCAGGGAGAGCTGGGTGGAGCTTCTTGACACGCATGGTCTTGTGTTGGCTTCGACCTGGACCTGGACTGGGGCTGGGTCCTTCTTCACCATCGACTGCCACTTGGATGTGGTCATCTTGAGCAGGTCCTTGAAGAGGGTATGGTCCGACGACGACGGATTTCCATCCAGATGATACATTGTGGGCGTGTTTTGGGGAGTTTGTGTTGAAGGAGTTAAAAAAAATAGAGGATGTTAACGGAGCGGCGTTAGTGGCAGAGGATGGAATTTATGGGCCGCGTGCACCCTAGGCCTTACTACATAGTTTTGCCTGTGGGCGCATTCTAGCCCGGTCTTCCCCCGCCCTTTTGCCGCCTGCGCCCATGACCTGCAACCCCCCACGGTCCGACGCGACGCCGTTCCATGTTTTTGGCGCCCTTTGTTGCCATCTTCATCTTCTCCTTGCGCGTACAGTCGTTAGCGATTGCGGCTTCACCCTTACGCACAGCTGCGCAACGGATTTGAGCAGCCCCACCTTCCTTATGTAGCTTAGTACAAGAAGTCAGCAGCAGAACCATCGGTGTGATTGGTCANTTTGCCGCCTGCGCCCATGACCTGCAACCCCCCACGGTCCGACGCGACGCCGTTCCATGTTTTTGGCGCCCTTTGTTGCCATCTTCATCTTCTCCCCAGTATATTCTCTACTTAGTTAGCGATTGCCGCTTCACCCTTACGCACCGCAACGGATTTGAGCAGCCCCACCTTCCTTATGTAGCTTAGTACAAGAAGTCAACAGCAGAACCATCGGTGTGATTGGTCAATCCTCGATGTTCTGATGACTGGACTTTTGGAACGCTGCCTACCGGGGTGAAGCCGCAATCGCTAGCGACTGTACACCCACACACACATATACATCAATATATTTATATCCGCACGCATCTGTTGCGATTGTATGCAAATCAAACCTCGCGGAGAAAATACGTGTCTAGCAAACAATCGGACATGCACTAACGCCTGATCGTTGATTAATGTGGCTGTCCTGGTCATGGCTGTGCTACCATGTCTGCCATCTCACCGCCATTGAAGCCCGATTATACTTTCCGCCTTCTTTTTCCCCGTGTGGAAGTGTTGTGCACAACAAACAACCCGGACTAGTCACGTTGTGAAACTGGCCTGGGCCTTAGGTCAGCAGTGCCCGGTGGCGAGGACTCATGATAGAAATGTGAGCTGTCTTTGTACAGCACTCGGATGACGTGACCAGCTGAATCGGCACTTGGCCAGCTATGATTTTGGCTCGACCAGCCATGTCCTCCGGATCCAAAACGCTCGCGCCATTGGAAAGCCACAGCCTTCACTTGACTGATTTGGTCTTGGTCGTCGCCATTCGAAACATGTTTCCGGTCACTGCCATGCCCCTTTCGATCACTTGACATACCCTTCCTGGAAGTCTAGACTGTTCCGCTACTACCTTCAGGTACATTGAAGGACACAATGTAATGACTGTATGGATATCCCACGCTGCTATATCACCATACTTGGCTGCAGGAAAAAGCTACAGCCACTTGCGAGGACCACACATGTAACACATACATCATAATCGAGGCTTAAGTTTGGTTAGATGACTTGTTGGGAGAGCGTGGACGGTTTTCACAATGGAACTGGCAGATGCAATCTGGCCCATGGGTTCAAGTGCCTGCATCGAGCCAGATCTGAGACGTGGAGAGTGGCGTGCAGCCACCCGTATATCTGTATGGAGGGAAACTTCTAGGAAGCACCTAGCACATATAGCGCGAGGCTAGGCAGTGTTCAACTAGTAAACACTCCTTATATGCACCATACCGCCCACGAGAAAGCAGAGTGCTATGGTTCACTGCGACGTCAAACAATGGATAAGTGAGTTGCTGTCTCCATGCCGTATCGCTCTAGTTTCTGACTTTCGGGACAAAGGCAACCTGGGAGCTCAACCACGCAGGCATCGGGTATTGACCTATCAGACAGCGAAGATGGCACCTGCGAACTAAGGCGCGTACCAGACAGCGTTCCCGTCATGGTCTGGATAGTAGCTATGGCAGGGTTCTGGGAGCGAGCAGCCTTTTGGGGCAGTAGGTCCAACTTCACATCCACGTCTACGAACAACTAACTCTTTTCCGACTATAGTCTCTGGGCCTTGGCGTACGTCTCTCTGTTTCCCCGTTGCCAATTGTCAAGGGCTACCACTAACACTGCCTTGATACAGAAAACTACATGGAGAATCCACGAAATTACACAACAGACGGTACCCCGGGAGCCCTGAGTCTCGGCCAAGCAACAGCAACACGCATCTTCTGCGGCTTCTTCGTAGTCTACTTCACCTCCCCAATCCTGTTTGCACCACTGGTGGATAGCCGTGTGGGTCAGTACAAGACTTTGGTCATCAGCCTAGGAGTGTACGTGCTAGGATGCATTGCTTTGGCTATCAGTTCGTACCCGAGCATGCTTGACCGAGGAGCCGGCCTACCCGGTTTACTCATGTCAATGGCTTTGATCGCCTTAGGAGGCGGGTGTGTACGTCTCACTTGTTATTGCAAAGTGTATGCGGTGCGTACTAAATCTTTGCTAGTCACAAGCCACCATTAGGTCCTTTATTGCTGCGCAGTACAAGGATAGAACCCCACGACTCCGAAATCGCCCGCCATCTCGAAATCGATGCTTGGATTTCCTTCGAAAGCGGCTGCAAAATACAAACTTCGTCAAATGGCTGCCAGCAGCTGCGACTGAAGAAGTCGTCGTGGTCGATCCCGAACTTACGCTCAAGTTCATCTATACCTTGCTGTTTTGGGTTGGGAATCTAGGCGCACTCTTGGTGTTCCCAATTGTTTGCATCGAGAGATTATTTGGCTTCTTTCCCGCCTTTGTCTTGGGCGGCGGCAATGCCCTCATGGCCTTCTTGATCATCATTGCTGGCAAGAAATACTTTGGTATGACTCGTTACTGGCCCTGGTGCAAAATTATGGCTAACTTTTACAGTAAAACCTCCGCTTGCAGACAATGTAATGATACCAGCGGCAAAGGTGCTTGGCTGCGCTGCGCGCAGCGGGTTTAACATGAAGCGTACAGATCCTGCTTACCAGCTTGCGGATCGAGGCAAAATAGTGCCATGGAGTAGCCAATTCTCCGATGAAATCACTCGCGCATTAGGTGCTTGCAGGGTCCTGTCGGTATCTCTCTCCATCCATACAGTACTTAAAAGCTGACACCTTCTTAGCCTAGCATTCATCATTTTCTACGTTTGCTTCGACCAAATGCAGAACAACTTGATTTCTCAAGCAGGTGATATGAACAAAGGACGGACACCCAACGAAGTCGTACCCAACATGAACCAGGTCGCATGCATCGTCATTAGCCCATTGGTCGAATATGTTCTTGATCCAGCACTATCCAAGCGACACATTTACCTGAAGCCCGTCACTCGGATCGCAATTGGCTTTATCTTCGTCTCCCTTTCCATGGCTTATGCAGCTGTAGTACAGTACTTCATTTACAATTCCCCGCCTTGTTTCAATCACCCCTCGTCATGCGGGGACCGTCATATGGTATCCCAGCAACGACCGAACATTTGGATACAAACGCCCGTGTTTGTGCTCATGGCCGTGGGCGAGGTCTATGCCATGACCACGGCCATGGAGTATGCAGAGACGCATTCGCCCAAAGAGATGAAAGTGCTCGTACAGTCTATCAACATGCTCATTACTGGCGTCGGTTCCGTGTTTGCAATGGCAATCGCTGAAGCGGCCCGCGACCCATATTTGATGATTTTCTACTCCAGCCTGGCCGGTGCCATGGCTCTCACGACAGTTATATTCTACGCCTTGTTTCGGAACAAAGACAAAGAGGAGCCAAACCTTCCGTTTGATACAGAGGGCATCATAAAGATAGAGAATGAAGAGGACAATGGCATTCTTTGTACGGCATGTACACCACAGGAGTCTGTACACCCAGATACGACTATTGGTACCCAGACTACGGTCACCAAGGCAGATTAAAGAGGCTTTCTGCTGTCAAGCATTACTAGTCAACCCTTTAGCAGTCGTATGGAGGTAGTCATAGAACAAACAGCGGTATTGAACCAATGAGGAAGTTGGTTGACCAAACCTCGAACTATGACTATGTTCACCTGCAATGACACTATAGATTTCATATTATAATGATGTTCAAAGAGAAGACGTATAGCCAGGGGCTGATATAGAACTGAGGCACAATTGTTAATCAAAGATTGTTCATCACTTGTATAAAGTAGTACAACAAAGATACATACATGGTATTACTGTTGGTCGCATGCTGTATTTATCGCTGTGGACAGTCCGCGAAGCTCAGCTTCTTCATTGGAACAAAAATAATACTCAAATGTACCAGCAGATGCAAAACTCACAGCTGTTGACCCTGGGGGACAAAAAAGGAAGTGCCTTCGGCCAGAATTGAACTGACGGCCTCGTCATTACTAGTGACGCGCTCTACCACTGAGCTACGAAGGCATGATTGGTTGCTTTTGGATGAAAAATTGTCCAAATTGGGCATTCATATTTCTATCCCGAATCTGATCGGACGAAGTGATATCTGGAACACGGTTCTCGGTAACCTTCTATCGTTTGGGGTTGTAGTGGAAGGTTTGTAGACAGCGAAAGAAAAAAAGAGCTAGAAGGTGGGGCTGTATGCATCAACCCCTGACTCAGCATGGATAAGTTCCACTGGCGTATCGTGAGGACATCACAGTATCGACCACGGACAGCTGGACCTTTGTCGTGCCAAGATGACATCTAGAATTCTAATTCAATTCACTGTTACCAAACCATATGAGTATAGGAAAAATGATTCCCGTTCAACGAAGAGATCATGGAATACTTTGCTCCAGTCCTATGCGGTCGCGAGAGAGAGAATGGCTACCAACTACAACGCCAGTGTAAATGCAACATACAGCCTGTGGATATCGCTCGTGTATTTTGGCAACGAAAGATGGAAAAGAAGAAGCCCCACCATTGGATAAGGAGAGTATAAAAATAACATGGAAAGAAGGTGTCGGAAGAGTTTTTGGTAGCTAGCAGGAGCCTAAGCGTGATGCTGTTTCTTCTCTCGCTCCTCGAGCTCTTTGACATATTTGACAAACGTTTTCTTATGAACCTAGGTGTTGTGTTAGTGCCATGCTACTAAGCAGTAGTTGAAATTTATTACTCACCAGACCAGCGTATTTGCCGTCCCTAAGAACACAGATATAACGCAGTCCAAGCTTGACAAAGCATTCGTAGACAAGATCCATGGGTGAATGAACATCCAATGCTACTGGGGCAGGGTCAATGTATGGGGTGAAGTCACTCGGGTCGTATGCTTCTTGCTCTTCCTCGTCGTGAGGCTCTCGTCCCGCCGCCCAGTCTACACGTGGAGACATTAGGCAGAGCGTGTTTTCTTCGTTTTCGAGCTTGTCGAGGGCGAACTCCAGGTCTGGTGCAGGGATAAGGCCGACAAGGATGCCGTTTTTGACAATCGACAGACCGCCATCGAGTTCACCAGCCATCTGTAGGGCGCGCTGCTTTGCACGCAATTCTACCGCAGGAATTAAGGAGTCCTCTGAGATATCAATTACATGGTCATTCTTCGAGCCAGGGGTGATGTCACCCAATTCAGAGGTGAAGATTGGTCGGACTTTGTTGTCCAGGAATGGGTACGAGTTCATGTCAGTCAGAAGGTCGTAGATACTGAGCGGCTCAATAGCATCTGCTACCCACTTGGAGACGAGAATTCCCAGAGAGAAGGGCAGTACATGATCCAAGCTGCCGGTGAGTTCAAAAAGAATGACAGCCAAAGTAATGCTGAGACGGGTGACACCAGTCATAGTTGCTCCAGCTGCTACCAAGGCATAGACACCCGGAACGACACAGGAACCTGGAGGGCCGTCTGGCGAGCACTCGCTGAAAATGCCGAGATGACTAAATCGGAGAGCAACAAGCTGGACGGTGTGACCAATGAAGCGTCCGGCAAGACCACCGACAACCATGGAAGGTACGTAGATACCGGCTGGCACTTTTATGCCAAAAGTGACTACAGTCAGGCTGGCCTTGATGAGGAACGCGATGAACAAGAGTTTGAGCACCCCAGGGATATGCTCAACAGTCGGGCACAGGCCATCGCCCGTGTCAGTGTAAGTATCGCAGGGACTGGCTAGCTCGAATAGAAGTTCAGTAACAGGAAGCTTGGTGTAACGGTTCCAGAAGCTAATCAGACCCGTGACGAGTGCGACAAGGAAGACCTCGAGAAGAGGATGTTTCTTGATGATGGGTATGCGACGGAACGTACGTGCCCAGATGCGAGATGCTTTGATAAAGAGGGCACCCAAAACACCACCAACGGCACCGGTAAATATAAATGAGGCGAGTTCGAAAAACTTCCAGTCCAAGTGGTATCGCACCTCGAAAAGCACAATCTTCTTGGTTCCGTATGGATCGAGAAACTTGAGTGATAAGGCAGCCGCAATGCAGCAAAAGAAGGTGCGGAAAAGCGTCTTCGACGGGAAGTAATAGCTGACTTCCTCAAGACTGAAAAGCACGCCACCAATGGGAGCGCCAAACGCAACAGCCACACCACTAGCAGCACTTGCGCTCAAAATTTCCCTGCGCTTGCCATCGTTGTTACTGTACTTTGAGAAAATACGACAGACAATGTTGCCAATACATGTGGCAATATGGACATAGGGGCCTTCTTTGCCGAGACTGAGGCCTGATGCGACACTGAGAATAAGGGCGAGGGTCTTGATGACGAGGGTGCGTACACCAAGGTAGCCGTGGAGGACAAAGCCACTTAGAATGACTTTGACTTCGGCCACACCACTACCGGCGGCAGAATAGTAGACCATGGGGGGTCGGGCCTGCACCTCCTGGAACCGGGTTTCTGGGCTGGTACTGCGCTTGTTGTCATCGTCGTCATCGTCGGAAAATCTTCGAACTTCTGCACCAAGGTTCTCGTCTAGCGTAGAGAGCGAAATGGCGGATGGGATGACGGTCTTTGTGGTGAGGGTGAGGAGACACGAGGCCATGGAGAGCAGCACAACGGACAAGACAAAGAAACCATACTGTGTCTGCACGACATCCAGCCTGTCTGTGCGGACGGCCTCAGACCAATGGATCCATTTGTCGCATATTGAAGCGCCGTCACAGCATCTCTTGTGGCTCTTTGTCCAGCCCACCGAACAGTATCCCTGCTTCAGGTCGAAGAGCGTTGTCTCGGTCGTGTTGACGAAATAGGCGCACACGGCAGTGAGGACACCAATGATGGCGACCAGGACCCAGCCCTGGGCGCCGTCGAACCAAGCAGCGAGACGGCCCCTGATGTCCTTTCTGCTCCGCAGTGCTTTTACACGGTATGCGTCGGCGATGTTGTCGTGGACCCAGTCGGTGGAGGTGAACTGGTCGTACCACACGCGGTCGTCCTGGAAGATGGCTACCTTTGCCGAGTGCATGCTCTGCTCGAGTCCGTGGCCTCGCTCGCCCAGGGCATTCACAAGACGCTGACTGAACGTGTGGCCGCCGGTGAGGGAGCCTCGTCTGCTGGAGCGTATGCGCGACGTGGTGGGCAATTGGCTGTTGTTACGCGCCATGCCTGGACGCGGGGTGCCAGGCGTGGTGCCCGGGAGGCTCTTGTAGGACCTGGACGAGCGCAGATGGGGCAGGCCCAGCAGCGAGGTGCGCTCGTTGACGCTCTCTCTAGACCTGGCGAGGTCCGTGTCCGAAGCTCGCATATGCCTCATGGCGCTGAAGGTGAGGGTTGGCGACGTGGGCGTTGTGCTGCTGTATGTGTCATGGCTCTCGCCGCGGTCGGCAGAGCCCTGAGCATGGCCGGTGTCATAGTCGTCGACGCTGTGATATGAGTGCGTCGACTTGGGCATGGCGGCGACGACGCAGGAAGGGGGGGTTGGAGGTGGAGGAGGTGTGGAGAGGGAGGGGGAGAGAGAGAAGGGGAGGTTACAGGACGGGCAAGGGCAGCGTATTATTAGTGGTGAGGTCAGTTTGAGACATGTCGCCGAGCGGCCGCACTATCATGGTCATCTGGGGAAGTGATGGCGGTGTCACGATGGATATGTTATGGCTGGGCAGCATGGCCCCCCGTCCCCACCCGGCTGCGGATCTTGACCACGATGGTTGCGATGGGGGGGAGGCGCTGCTTCATGGTTGAGTATCTGCCTGGCGCCACGGCATAATGACGAGTTTCCAAAACTGAATGCGGCATGCCGGGGTTGTGGGCGGCGACGTGACTCCGCGAGGACGCAGACAGGGAAATGCAGACGGGGGGGGGGGGGGGGGGTGTGGCAGGGCTCTGGCAGTGTGTAGGAGAATGTGTAGTAGGAGGAGCCATTGCGGCATGCAACTGGCGGTAGGCGCGTGCCATGTGATTATCTGGGATGCGCGCGAGGGGCGGCCGCTTGCAGGGAACCCATGGCCGGCCAGGCGAGTATTGCTTTTTTGCCCGTCTACGTGTGAGTTGATCGCACGCCATTGTTCACGCCCAGCCAAGCGCCTCTTCCACTGGTGGCCTCGCCTTATCGCGTCTGCATTTGTGCAACGCAAACGCAGGAACAGTTGCTGCTGATACTGCCAAACACCCGCGTACATACCACATACTTATTACTTTTCTGCCTTTCGGTGCTCGCCATGGTGAGTGCCCCCATCCATCCATCCACCCATCCACCCGTCTGCCATCTCGTGCCCTCTCGGCTGTGTACCTATTGACACGCACAGTCTGCCCCCTATGAACAATTCTTCTTGCTCGGTGACAGCATCACCCAGGAATCTTTTTCCCAGGAGCGGGGATTTGCATTTGGCGCAGCTCTCCAGGCCGGTCAGTCCACATGGCTCGATTGCTGTTTTTCCTTTGACGTCTACCCCACCCTCGAGCCAGCAACCTTTGTTTGCGTTGCGGGACGGCCATGCAATGCAATGCTCGGTGACCAAAAAGCGAGTGTGTGGATGTGGTGCGCGTGCATGCTGACCAACCCCTCCTTCGCTCAGCATACATAAGACGACTCGACGTGGTCAACCGAGGCTTCAGGTAGCGTGCACACTGACTGCCAACTGTTGCTATGGGCGCTGATGTCATAGAGCGGGTACAACTCTCGTCAAGCTCTCCAGATCTTACCGGCTATCGTGCCACCCCCGAGTCAAGCCAAGATTCGGCTCATGGTATTATTTTCACCATGCCCACATCATGTGAGATGGATCACTGTTGACAGCGCAGACCGTCTTCTTTGGCGCAAACGATGCCTCGCTGCCAGATGCCCCCAACAAGCAGCACATTCCGCTGGATGAGTTCAAGGCCAACCTGCGCGCCATAGTCTCCCACCCTTGCATAGTCGCCCATGCGCCTCGCATCATCCTCGTGGCGCCTCCCCCGATGAACGAGCACTTGTGGTGGCCCAGAGACCAGTCCAGCGGGTATGCCACAGTCTCGCGATTGGCCGAGACCACCAAGATCTATGCCGATGCAGTCGTCCAACTAGGCGCTGAGCTGCATCTCCCCGTACTCGACTTGTGGAAGGCATTCATGTCGCGGACTGACTTCCACGTCGATACGTGGAAGCTCGGGGACCACGTCCCTGGCTCCTTGGCACTGCCCCCGAGCGCTGCATTGGCCGACCTCATGTACGACGGTACGTCTACTCGGCGCATTTTGGACATATCGCAAGGGTACTGATAGCATCGCCAGGCCTACACATGAACCCACCAGGCTACCAGATCCTCTACGACGAGTTGATCAACGTCATTTCCCGCAATTGGCCCGACCAATTGCCAGACAAACTACCCATGGTTCTGCCGCCATGGAACGACGAAGTTGCTTGGAAAGCATGGAGAAGTCATCATGTAGCAAAATAAAATAAAAACAGAGGCTTTGGAGACATGCACCACACTGTACTATACAAACATATAAGTACATACATGATAGACAAAAGTGCCCATACCCAAGCATGCAGCCGCCCACAGCGGGCAATGGGCGGGGGTGGTCTGGGGAATACGGGACGCACGTCTGGACCAATCGGACCTGCGCCGTAACTCCGGGAGGCAGGCAGGGCAGGTGCTTAGCGGCGTAGCCTCGAATCAACCTTATCGTACTAGCATCGTGCTGAGTGTACGCAAATACAACACCATCGCAAACACTCGAGCTTGACCCTCCACTTGCCCTTGCAAACACGGTAGATTGCTTCGCCTTTTCTTCTCATTGCCTTCGTAACATCCTGCTGGTTGCTGGCATATCCAGGCTGGGTGCTGGTATATTCCGCTCCAAACACTTCTTGACTAGTCCCCTTGGCCAACCCTCGCCGCTTGCTCTTTACATTCACCGACCTCGCCCCAGGCCACCTTGTACATCGTCGTGATTTCTTAGGCCCACCCACGTAACCCCGCAAATTCACGCCCCAACTTGTCCATTGTTGCTGCATCTTCGCCGCTGCTTCGTCACCGCTGTCCGATCGAGCCACTCGCCTACACCACATATAGGACAACCACACGCGCACCATCACACATACACATACGCACACGTCCACAAGCCAGATACACACAGACTGAGGAGAAGCAGTCGTTCGGCGCTCGTAGGTAGGCTAGCGCCTACGGGAAGGTCGGGCTCTCTTTACTGTGCACGCTGCTAGGGCATCAGACGGCCGGGGGCATGGATCCCCAGAGCGTAGCTTTCCAGCCGCGCGACGATCTCTGGCGCTTCCAGAGCGAGATGCTTCGAGTACAAGAGAGCCAGGCCGAACTTGCTGACCGTGTCGCCCGTTTGGAGCGTAAGCACGACGACGACTCACGTCTGAAGAACGTTTGGGGAACTTCGTCACCTTTCCCTTCAGTCCTGGGCGGAACCCCACAGCAAGGTACCAAGATCAAACTCGCTACTGCTACTACAGGCCTAATACATGACAGTACCCTTGCAGCAGCCTACTGCCGAGCACTTTTCCAACTTTGACGGCCATTCCACCAACCTCATCGGTAACCTTCAGCTTGATGAAGACGAAGTACCCCGCCGCGTAGGCGTCACATCGCGCGCCAACAGCGTCCGTTTCGATGAGACGGCAAATCACGGCCACTGGGCTCACGCGTCGCGGTCTTCGCTCGACCTGATACCCCGCACAGGCAGCGGCTTGGGTGGGCACGCCATGAGCGAACGCAGCTACTCGCACAAGTCGGACGGAAGGCAAAGCTCGGCCGGCCACTCAGTACACTCGATGGCGTCTGGTCGAGCGAACAGCCTTACGAGCTTTGGGCCGACGACGCCTCAAGACGCCCCAGGACTGGCTCCTGGCTTGTTCATTCTGGGCTCTGTGCCCGCGATTATACGTTGCTGGCTCAACACTAACTTCAAGCACGATACTTTGTTGTATGCAGCCGTGTGCTCAGGCTCATACACATCCTATCTGGACCTGCACCTTATCCAACACCTTGGCTTCCAAGACCAGGTCGTGCTCGACGATGACGGTCTTCGCAAGATCAAGTTGTCGGTCTACCTCCCCGAAGCCGTGCCGGTGTCGGCTTCTTCCCGGTCCACTAGCTCGGCGCCACAACTTCCATCAATTGGCGTGAATTTCACTGTTGTTCAAGAGCATCATCCCGAAGCCAATCCAAAAGCCGTTCAGATCTTTCTCGGCAGCGACATGCTCCGCGCACACAATGCCGACCTGTTGTTCTCATCTAGCCAGCTAACCCTCTATGACGACGACCACAGCAAACTTCAGATACCTTTGGTTCGTCCAGAAGATGAACGCGCCTTCAAGTCATTACATGTTTCCAGTCGAACCTATGCCCCGTCGACCGAGCAAGATAAGAGAGACGTGATGGCTGCTTCGACACAACATCATTCGACAAGTGACGGTTCTGCTACATCTGTTGCCCATGATACTTTCCTGTCTACTGACAAGTCTACTGACACAGGCACGGCAACAAACTCAGAGGACGGGGGCTCGAGTGGTCGTATGAGTCTTGAGCAGCGTCCACGTCTCGGCCTTTCGTTATCAAGTCGTCTGGAAGATGGAAATGCAGGAGAATCTGGGGCTGTCAGTGGGGCACCGCGCTCTACAACAGCATCATCGGCCATCTGGAGCAACTGGCGGCGGGACCAAGCCGAGAAGGCTACGGCTGCTGCTGGGCCGTTGGACTGGGCGAGCGTGGGTAAAACCACGAGCTCAAACCCTAGCTACCAACGACGCGATACGGGCATCAAGGTGCTGAAGCCGTCCAAGTCGGCAAGGACCATGTCGGGGTCAAACTCGTTGCCTGCTACGGGACAGTCACGCTTCTTCGATGATGGAAAGCGAAGGGGCGAGCCGGAGAGTGAGACGAGCAGCAGCCAGGCACCGCCACAGGCGAAGAGGACGGTGTCTGCGGAGAAGGTGAAGGAGAATCATGGGACGGCGACGAAACCACGATCAGCCAATCCGGTGGGAGGGGCGTCTGCTTTTGCATGGCTGAACAGCGGCGGGTCAAAGTAAAAGGGGTCTCTAGGCAATGGCGTGGTGGCATAGTTCCCCGTCGGCTCGAGCGAATAAAAGTAAATGCCAGCAAGCATCAGTGCTGTGTGGTGGTGTGGTGCGGTGTGGTCCGACAGATAGATAGTGAAGCGTGAAACATGCGATGGGGGATGCAAGCGAGACAGGGGTGGTTGCTTCACTCGAGTCGCCAAGCTCGCTTATTGGCAAGGCTGAGTTTGTAGTGGGAGTGTACTAGAGTGACGACGGGCCATGGGAGGTGAAGTACTCTCATTTTTCGCGGCGCATTGCACGGTAGCCCACGTCCTTCACCGCTGCGAAAGCCATCTCTCTCTCTCTTTCCCGTGAAGTACAGAGGACCAACTCGCTAGGCACCCCGGCCCAGGCGACGCGCTGCATACTACTACATACTACACATTGCTTGTCTGCCGTCTCGGCTGTCCCTTCACCGTATATTAATAGTCTGTCCAGGAGCTCGTCACGGGCTTCGCGACAGGCCAGCAACTTCAAGACGGCCTCCACTAACAACAAGAAGCGGAAGATCGTGGTCCCCGCCAGAGACTCGCCAGCCGCCAGGGACGACGGGCACTCGCCGCCGAATGTGGGCAGCGCTGGCGTAGTAGGCTCCCCTCGCTCCTCCCCGCAGCCTTCAGCATCACCGCCACGCTACCTGCCACCGCACCTGCACGACGAGGTCCTGGTCGACGCCTCCGACTCGGCCTCTGCCTTTGCACGAGACCACAGCAACGGCGCCAGCTCGCCCAGCGAAGCCTACGCCAACCTGACCCTTGACAGCCGCGAGGCCTCCATCACCGACCTCGACCGCACCCGCGCTGCCGAACAACTGCCCTCCGCTTCACGGCCCCCGCCCCGCGCCTCGTCGCCCGCTAAGCGCTCTCATTCAGACATGGACGACAAGCCCGACCCCAGCTCTGCTGCCCGCAACACCAAGCCGCAGTCCGCAGGCCCATCACAGCCACAGCCACAGGCACAACGCAGTGCGCGTGCCACATCGGTCGACATGGCTGATACGCCCAACAGCGGCTCCTTTGATGCCGATGACCAGGCCCCGGCCTCGTCATCTACCATGGCCGCCGACGCCTCGCCCCAGGCCCAGCTGCCCAGCATAGACGAGCAGGTGACTCGCGTCATGGGCATGATGAACAGTGAGCCTCTGGTCGACCGCCAGGAGGGCTACATCATTTCGGAGCGGTGGCTGGAGCGTGTCTGGGCAAGAACGTCGGAGAACGTGAGCAGACCTCAGGACTTTAGCAAGGAAGCGACCCAGGGCCCCGTGGGTCCCGTCGACAACTCGCACCTGGTCGACACGGAACTGCTGCAAGAGGACCTGGCCGACCAGCGTGGCGAAGACTTCATTCCGCTGAGCAAAGCTGCGACACTTGGCCAGGACTTTGAGGTTCTCCCGCGCAAGGCGTGGGAGCTGGTTCTCAGCTGGTACGGACTCAACAAGGGCAGTCCAGTCATACGGCGTTACGCCCACAATACCGTTCCCGGCCAAGCGAGCGAGGATATTTCATACGAACTTCACCCTCCCGTTATTACTATTCGCAAAGTGCGGAAGTCAGCGAACCCTGCCGATACCTCCAAGTTGGCGGAGAAGATTGTTGCCAGCCGCTACGAGAGCTTCGTCACCTTTCTCGAAGCCGCCAAAAAGACTGTGGGTATCGATCTGAGCAACAAGGTTCGTATATGGAGAATTCTCTCTACCGCGCCTACAGACAAGCCCCAGCCGTCCCAACCATCCGGTATACTCACTCCAGACGCATCACCCCGCAATGGTTCGCCTGTCGCCCCCACGGGCACTCAACGGCCTTCTCTTGTTATGGATATCGCAAGTTTTAACGCACTTGCGTATGGGTCGGAGCGTGAGCTAGTCACGGGCAAAGATGAGAAGGCCAACGAGATTTACAACGAATCTCTCACTCTGGCCGATGCTGGTCTCACACAAGATCAAACAATCGTTCTCGAGGAACATGACGAGAAGGGAGAGTACATTTCCGACACGACCAAAGAGGCGTCGAAAAATAAGGCTGGCGCTGCAGCAAGCAAGGGTCTCCAAAGTACTACCACCAGCGGGAGGAATACACCCACCGGTGGCCCCCTAACGCGCGGAAGGAAGCAGAATGGCAAAGTGCGTGGACATGTTGGCTTGACAAATCTTGGCAACACTTGTTACATGAACTCCGCCCTTCAGTGTCTCCGGAGCGTCGAGGAGCTGAGCATGTACTTTCTGAGCAACAAATGGAAAGAAGAGGTCAACGCCGACAATCCAATCGGCCACAAGGGCGTCATCGCAAAGTCGTACGCTTCACTGCTCAGTGCCATCTATAGCCTCGACAACAACTCATCCATTTCACCAAAGGACTTTAAGCAGAAGCTAGGAAGAGCCAATAGCCTATTCTCCGGTTACGGTCAGCAAGACTCTCAAGAGTTTGTCAGCTGGTTGGTAGATGCGCTACACGAGGATCTCAACAGGATACACAAGAAGCCATACCGGGAAAACCCAGATTCAGAAGATGACACTTATCGTGACCCAGAGGCTGTCAAGAAACTCGGCGAGATTTATCGGGATAATCACCGCGCTCGAAACAATTCTGTAGCGATGGATCTGTTTAGCGGATTTTACAAGAATACCATGGTCTGCCCAGACTGTGAGAAAGTCAGCATAACATTTGACCCCTACAGCCAACTCACCCTGCAATTGCCCATAGAGCAGACTTGGACTCACACTATCACATACGTGCCGCTTTACGGAAAACCCTATCAGTTAGAGGTTGACATTGACAAGAACGCGACCATTAAAACGCTTAAAGAATTCGTCGGCAAGCGTGGCGGCGGCGTCCCAGCTAACCGCATAATGGCGTCTGAGCTTTACAGCCACAAGTTCTACCGTCACCTGGAGGACTCCCTCACTGTGTCTGAGTCGAACATTGGAGCCAGGGATGACATTTACTTCTACGAACTCGACATAGCACCAAGCAACTGGCCCGCTCCCAAAAAGAAGGGGTCAAAGTACAAGACGATGCTTTCCCAATCTTCCGACGAAGATATCCCAGACACTGCTTCGCCGCTGCATGACCGCATCGTAGTCCCTCTTTTCCATCGCAGCCCCAGTGTGTCTGCTTATAGATCTACAAGCACCGGCATGGCGCTTTGGCCAAGTTTTATCGTTTTGACAAGAGACGAAGCAAATGATTACGACGCTATTTTCAGAAAGGTGCTGGCAAGGGTTGCGCAAATGACCACACGGAAGATACTCAGTGAGCTCAGTGGATCAGATCAGTCACAATCTGGTTCTGATGTTGTGCTAACAACCGAAGAAGATGCTTCACCCAACGACCCTCAAGTCAAGGATGGCTCTGTGGAAGGTGAAGACATAGTCGAGGTGACAATGACAGATGCCAAGGAAACTCCTCCTACTCAGGGCGATGATGCCAATCAGATTCCAGAAGTGCTACGTCCGGGTAGCTTCATCCACCCCGAATTCAGGTACGTTTAGCTACTAAGAGGTCAGGTATTCGGTGACTAACACACAACAGACAACTGTTTGAAATGAAGCACACTAGGAAGAGTAATGAGATTGTAACTACTGGATGGAGTACATTGGATCATAATCGCGCATGTGAGCCCATTTCAAAGCGCATTCGGGTGCCATCATCACGAGAAGAATCCGTCCAGTCATCTGTCGGTGGAAGCGAGCCTACATCAAGTGATGAGGATGAAGACGCTTCGCAGTCGACGATTGTCGATGCTGATCCCGCGGTTGACACAACCAATCCAAGCAGCGACGAAGAAATGCAATCGGTAGAGCCAGAAACGACAGATTTTGCACGATCCGGTCGTCAAAATAAGAAGAAGAGCAAGAAAGCACGGAAGCATGAGCGGAAAATCGAGCGAAAAAACAAGAATAATAAGAACTTCAAGAACCGCAAAGGAGGTAGGGTGCCAGAACAGCCCAACTACCCGGAAGACCCGGATGATGAGGCTGATGATCGTTTGATCCGCATGGGCGAGGGTATTGTCCTTGACTGGACTTCCGAGGCCATTGATGCTTTGTTTGGTGGTACTTCGGAAGACGACCCTCGAGGCGCCGACGTCATCAAGTCTATTGAGGTTTTTGACGATCCTGAGATTCGGGACAAGAAAGCCAAACGTGCAGCTCGCAGAAAGAACGGCATCAATCTGGACGAGTGTTTCACAGAATCGTCAAAGAGCGAAGTGCTCTCTGAGGACAATGCATGGTATTGCAGCCGCTGCAAAGAATTGCGTCGTGCGACAAAGACGTTGGAGATTTGGACCGTTCCTGACATTCTCATCATACACCTCAAACGTTTCAGTGGTCACCGAACATTCCGAGACAAGATTGAGGATTTAGTTGACTTTCCAGTTGAAGGACTAGACCTCTCTGGCAAAGTCGGTTATCCAGAAGGCAAGGATCTTACTTATGACCTTTTCGCCGTTGACAATCACTACGGTGGGCTTGGAGGGGGCCACTACACAGCCACTGCTCAGAATTTCTTCGACAAGCAGTGGTATGACTACAATGGTAAGCAGTTTTGTCTTTTCCCCCAGTCACGCAAGATCTGAAAGGTGTTTCCATATTATCATGACAGAAGCTAACTTTACCAGACTCCATTGTCTCCCGCTGCGACTCTGGTCAAAAGGCTGTTTCGAGAGCCGCATACTTGCTTTTCTACCGCCGTCGCTCGCCTGTCCCTTTAGGCCCTCCAGAGCTTCAGAAGGTGGTGACCGCCGACGTCAGCAACCCCGACTCTGACGACGAAAACAATACGGACGCGGACGATCAGCAGGCCCGCTCTCGGTCACCGGCGGGAAACGGCTTGCGCCTCGGCGATTCGTCCCGCAATGGGTCGTCGAGCGCTGGCGCAGTCGGAGCGGGAGCCGCAGCCCTGCGCGGGGATGGCTTTCAGCGTTCAGCAGCCGGGAACCGTCAAAAGAGCGGAGCCGCAGCCGCGAACCTGAGTGACGACGACGACCTTCCCCCATATGCTGACGAAGACGAAGGATTTGTGGAGGACTCGTACAGCAACAATCCTTGGGCCACCGACAACGACCAGCCAATGTGGAGCTTCAATGCGCTGAGCGACAACGCCGCTCGCAACGATAACGACTCAGATACCGGTGGTGTAGTGTCTGACACAGGCGCAGCCTCAACGGGTGACGGCATGGACTTGAGTGATAGACTTTTGGAAGATTTTGGTGACGACGAGCCCGTCAAGGGAGGATGGGGTGGTGTTGCCACACCTGTCACGCAACAAGATGACGAAGTTGCCGAGATTCGGCTAATTGGCGATTAATTGTTGAAAAGGATGCATTCACTGGACTTTAAAAACTAGACGAAACATGATTGACGCCAAGAGGACCATGATGCTGATATCAAGGGGTTATGGCGGAACCGACGCAAAGAGGCGTTTTTTTTTGCATAGCATCTGTAGGCGCAGGTTAGGCGTATCAATTGAGCATGCATTGTTCCCCGACACTTGCTGTTATCCTATTTTAAAAGTGATGGAAAGTAGATATGTGTTTCTAATGCAGTAATCATGTTATGAAAGAGTTCAGGTCCTAGTCATTACTTTCATTCGGTTTCTCCCAAGTCATTGAAAACACGATATCAGTAGACATGGCTTTGACATTAAGTATCTAACCCACCACATAACTTCAATCCTGGAATCACCGAAGAAGAAAGAAGAAAAGACACCCACAAAACACATCTCTTACAACCCACTCAACCCCAACGCCAACGACGTCAACAACCCATTCAACAAAGCAATCACCCCGACAAGAACAACATTCAGCACCAACTGTACCGCCAAAATCAGTGCACTCAGCGCCCCCGTCAACGGATTCAGATAAATCAGCAGTCCCGCGAGTCCCAAAATCGCAATAGCAGCCGCGACGGTAGCAAAAATCTCAATGATAATAAGGGAGAGTAGTGCAGCTATAGCGATAGCCTGGCGTTTTACCACTGCGATTCCGCCTTCCTGCTGCTTTGTAGTAGCTGCATCATCATCATCATCATCATCATCGCGAGTTGCAATGATACTCGTATCGTCGTTGGTGGTGGTAGTAGTAGTAGGTTGCGTAGCATTTTCCGGCGCAAGTGTACGTATTTCAGACGCAGTGGCCTGGATAGCTTGTGTGATTTTACTGATTTGAGCGCCGATTTGCGGGATTGCTGCTGTTTTTTCGAGGAGTGGGGAGGATGGGGTTAGGGGGGCGAGGGTGGCGTCTGTATTTGGATGAGTATTTTTGGTTTGGGGGAGGGGGGGGGAAAGGAAAGGGGAAGGAGACGTACTTATTGCGCCGGTGTAGGTTTGGACGGTTGCATAGAGGGTGGTTAGGAGGGATTCGATGGAGGATTCTGGGATTTGGCGGGACTGAAGGGGAGACGCGAGAGAGAGGGTGGTGAGGGTGAAGAAGGTGAGGTTTGAGAGACGCATTTTGAGAGATGGGTGATTATTTTTTTTGGTTGGAAAGAAGAGAGTATTTGACTGTATTTAGATGGAGGTGTTGGAACAGGAAGTTTATGTTCAGTGTTGAATCTGCTCAAAAATCATCAAGTCTTGTATAAAGTACGCTTTTACTGCTATTGGAAATTTCCTGTTCCTTGTTTCTAAGCATCAAGCCTCTGCGCTTGTTCTTCCATGGCATGACAGCATACTCGTCATTCATTTCTTTCGGCCTAAAGCCCTGTTCATGTAGAGCCGTGATTGCCATTTTCCATTCAATGGACTGAATAACCGAGCCGTGCCTAGCAAGAGAAGCACAAGTATTGATAGTATAGAACCCTTGCTATAACATCGCCAGGTAGATGCGCCGCAGACGAGCCAATGCCATGTGCAAACATCCCTTTGCCTGGACCCGTTCGAAATAAATAAAACGCCAAACATACCCGCCTTCCGATATCCGCTCTTACCATCCAGCCCCACAACTGCCTCGATGGGAAATCCTCAAAAAGGCCAAGCGTACACGAATGACGTATCCGGCACGCTTGCGACCGATATCCCGTGTCCCGCGACCCGCTATCCGTCATGCTTTTGCCGCATCCACCTAGCGCCCGTATACACTCGTATGCAAGCGGGTCTTTGGCTAGAACCGCTTTTGTGGTATGGGCTGCGAAAGGGGCGGTCGTACGTCATAAGGAGAAACTAAAGCCTTTCGAGTAATGGGAGTTGGCGGTCGATCTATCTGTTAATTATCGATGTGTGGATGATGGCGGTTTTTACGAGTTTCCAAAAGGTATTGATCGTATGAGATTGATTTTGAGAATGTCGTCGTCTGGCTCGCTAGCTGTTCATGTGGTGCTAGCTGTTCTTCTCGCAGTGCAGAAGCGCCGAGTGCAATCTTCATCGATGCAATCTGCACAATGTGTGTGCTCGACTTCGTGCCTCTCCGCCTCCTTCTTCGTCAGCATCTTCCCATCGTTACATGTCTCACATGTAGCATTCAGAACCGCTTCAAGTACTTTTTGTGTATCGCCTGGTTGGGGTTTTGCGCAGGGGTTTAACCACCGCAGCTGCGTTGTCGATGGGACGAAGAAGTCTTCGCTCGACTCTTGCGGGGAAGCCGGAGCAGCCGGGCCAGGTGAGGGCTGGGGATCAGCTAGTGTTGACTTATTACCCGTGGGATTGAACTGAAACGGTGCGTGTGCTGAAGGAGCAGAATCGATCGTACTACTCGAAGCAGGTGAGCTTCTATCAACAGCAACGACAGGACTATTGCGCGTTGTCGGCTCCGGTGCGGGCAGATCTGGTATTGTGTCTGGCGAATAAGGCACCATGTGCAGTAATGCGCTGACAGGGTCTGTATTGAATTTGACACCCGGAAGACCTAAGGTGGCACGCATCAGGACAATCTGCATAGATTCATCCTTCTCTTTAGGATCCAACAATCGTGTGTTCGAGTGCCGAACCGCCGCTTCGAGAAAGTACCGACTGGCTACGGAGAAGTATGCTTTGCGCAAAACTGGCTGAATATGCTCGGGTACCATGGTTTGCATGTAAAGGGTAAGATCACCTGTCGGCCGTGTGCAAGACATGACCTGCTCGTATGTCTGTGTTGTTGAGATGGGAAAAAGGTCGCCAGGACCTTGAGACGGTGCGCCATCAGGAGTCCGAACATGTGTCCCAGAAATCTTTGCAACCAGAGCGGACATTACTTCAGATAGCAGTGGCTCGTCGAAGGTTTCAGCTGCAAGAATATACGGTTGCACACCGTCAGGGTCTTCGGCTTCTGGGTCTGCGCCCCCGTCAAGAAGAACCTGGAGACGTGCAACAAGATCGACGGCAGGGCATTCTGTGATACACTTGCGCAATGGACTTATTGGACTACCTTCTGTGCGGTTCGGACTTATACCTTTTCCGAGCAAAACTTGAATATCGCGCAGTGTGTCGGTGCCGTGTCGTTTTGCATCCGGACAGCTACCGAGGACTTCATGGAGAAGCAGCGAACCATTTTCATTTGGCGTTTGAACAAATTTGTCGATGAGCAATCTTGCAATCGTTGGCGTCGAGTGCCAAAGTGCCTGATGCACAAAACTTTCCTTGACAGATGACCGACAAGGAACTCCCTGAAAGGGCAACTGGAGATTGATACCTTTGCTTATGAACATCGCAAAGCACTCAAGCTCCAACTCAGAGACTTCAAAAGCCCAGTAAGGACGACTTTTCCATGGCTGTAGGAACGCGTCAAACGTCGATTGAATCATAGGATCTTGAGAAGTCCTGTGGACATTTGCTCCTGCAGCGAGCAGCTGTTTGAGAATCTTGTGACAACTTTCGCGATACAAGGGATCGGAGTAGTTGTTTATCCTGCGCACCAGACACAGCTGTACAGGAGAATTCACGTATGTCTGGACAAGCGGGGAATCTAGATCCTCAACGTTTGCGCCTCGGCTCAAAAGGACGCGGACGACTTCTGGGTGCATCCAAAATACAGCTTGTCGAAGTGGTGTCCATTTGGAGTCAGAAAGACCGTTAACATCCGAGCGGCCCGGTAGGAGTAGCGTTTGAACCGTATATACACGCCCGTTTTTGATGGCGTTGTGCAAGGCCAGATCCGAGCCAAGTGGATGTTTGGAGCCTTTTGCACCATACGCAAACAGGACCCAAACGACTGGTCCGCACGGCATGCCGCACGCGATATCAAACATGGTCTGTCCAGAGTGCTGCAGGATGACCATATGATTGAGTGCGGGGTGGCCAAAGAGGCGGTTCGTGGGATCACATAAGAGTGAGCCGAGGGGATCATTGATGTGGTCATTATTCTTGAGGATGAGCCTTTCGAGCCGCTCAGCGTCGCTATCGAGGATTGCTTCAACCATGTCCAATACGATAGTTGATGGCTGAGAAGAATCCACAAGCCATGTTTGAGGAGGTACTTGGAGGCTGCGACATGTTGGGTAAGTATATAATCAATTACTAGGAAGCACTCTGACCGGATCTTACTCTTGAGGCTCCACAAACGTTGGCTCCACATCAACAACCGCTTCGTCAGCAGCCAGACTCGGCAGATTAGCACCGATCTGCCAACCCCTAGTCTCCAAGGAATTCTCTGGTGATGATTTGTTCGTGTTCACAGTCTCATCTGTGCCACTTGGTTGCTCCTCCCATCCTTCATTGTCGACCGCTGGACTACTCTTCCTCCTCTGCCTCGCCCCACGTCGGTGGTGAACAGTGCCACGCGGCTTGTGTCTCATGAAGCCCCACTCTTTCAACTTCATACGATACGCTCTTGTTCTTTTCTTCAAGTATCAGTAAATAGTACATCCATATTCATCAGTAATTCATAAGGTATTTACTTACGAAGCGCGAAATCTGTGTTTCCGTTCCATCATCTCTTTCACTTCCTCGAGTGTTTTCTTTTGTGAGAAGGAAAGCTCCTTGATCTCATCTTGGACTAGATCCCAGTCTTTAGTCATTTTGCAAGCCTAATTAGTGAGCAGCGGGTGCAAAAGTGATGCCCAACGGAATTGTTGCACTTGAATGTTACAAGATGTTGTCAAGTAAAGCGCATATATGTACCAGGCAACCACCGGGGAACGACTTAGGTACCATACAGAAGATAGAGGTATGCAGGATAGCTGAAATGCAAAATAATATGACAAGGAAAAAGGTGCTGGTTGTGCAAGTCTGGTGTTAAGTATACATTTGCACATGATGCGTAGTAGCTGAGTGCAAAAGTAAGCAGGGGTTGAGGGTGACGTTCTTGAAAGTGCAATTCTGGAACTAGTGCGCATTTCGCTTAGCGCATCCCACTCGAAAATTGCACATTCTGGCTCAGCCTCAGCCTGGACTGGACTAGCACTACAAAAACTATTTGGATACCCTTGAGACTTTGGTGCGTTACGCAAAGCCAAAAAAAGCCACGTGGGAAAATCTAAAGTTTGACATTCCAAATTATCACATATGCATACAACTAAGTCAAAGGTATTTCATTTATCATAACGCTGAAAGCAAACTCAAAAATAGAAAAGTCATAAGAAGCATTATCGACCACCAATCTGGTTCTTCGGAATGGGCCTGACCCATAGGAAGATGCAGTTGAGCGCGATGATCATTATGCCAATGATCCAGAAGACTTTTGCGTAATCCGTCTTATGGTAGCGGAAGATGATGGCGAAGATGATGCCACCAAAGTTGCCGGTCGCACCAACGATACCAGAAAGAACACCTTGAATACTGTTAGCAGCTGATAGATGATTTCAAATTTCGAGGAACAAGGCTCACCATTAGCATGAGGGTGAACATGCGGTACCAGAGCGAAGTTAGCACCGTTGCCAGCTTCGAGGAAGATGGCCATGACAGCAATGAGTCCAATCATCTCATCCAAGTTCTTGGGATCCACCTTTCCAATGACAATACACAGGACACCCGACATGACACCGACGAAGTGAATCCAGAACTTCTTGGCCCAAAGGTTATGCCCGGTGACTTTGTAGATGTAGTCAGCAATTACGCCACCGAGAGGACGTGTGACGATGTTCAATAGACCGAACATGGCAGCCCATCGGCCGGATTGCGTCTGGCCGAGGTATGGGAAGTTCTTGAGGTAGTAGGCGCCGAGGATAGAGTTGATGGCTAATTCGCCGCCAAAGGAACAGAAATAGCCCGCGCAGAGCGAGGCGGTCTGAAGGGAGAACATGACTTTCATAGCTTCCTTGAAAGTGGGCTTGACGATGACTTCGTGTTGGGCTTCGTCGATGACTTGGACATCTCCACGTCCGGCCTCGATATCCGCGGAAGGTTGTCGTTGTTTTTTCTCGTCGTTGGAAGCTATGGAGCTAGCGGCGGTAGGTTTCTCGTCAATCGCACCCGTTGTAGGTACGACGGATGACTGTGCTTGGTCACTGGACACGACTTTCACCCCGCGTTCAGACCATTTCCCGTTGGGAGTGTCGTCAGTCAAGAGCAGGAGGCTCAGAGCACAAGCAGTAATCATAATAAATGGAACGATGAAAGAGATGCGCCAAGCGACGTGCGAGGACAAGCCTTGGTCTTTCTTCAGGGAATCGTAAATGGCTGGCATAACAAAGCTATCCAAGTTAGTCGAGACTACGAAGCGCATAACAAAATAGACCTACTATGTAATACCACCGCCAGAGTTGCCCCAACCACCAACCAATGCGTTGGCAGTTCCGACGACATTTTTGTCGAAGAAACCAGTACTCCAGACTTGACAAGGCACAAAAGTACCACCAAGGATACCGACAAAGAAGCGGATAAAGTAGAGACCTGTGGCATTGGTGGCAGTACCAGCAAGGGCAGTAGGGATAGCGCCAGCAAATAGCAGTACCGCAAAAGTCTTGCGAGGGCCAATGTGATCGCACATGGGTCCAGCAATGAAGCGAACCAGCAATGTGGCGCAGAGCGCCACAATGTTGGAGTTTGCAATCTGGTCCTGGGTGAGGTGCATATCCGCCTTGATACTCTTGCTCAGCTAGGAAGATGTTAGTCAGGACTATACTCGTGGATTAAGGTCACAGGGTAGCCATACCAGAGGCGGAAACGCGTACCTGATCATCGTCAGTATAATGTGGGGCGAGGTGGTCCACTTGTGGGGAAGTACTTACCATGACCAGAACGCGATGAAGAAGCCCAGGTAAGAGAAGAAGAAGACCCGCCCATACTTGTTGATTGGGTTGAGTACAGGGATCGACCTGGCCTTTTGATTGTAGGGGTTGACCTCTGGTGCTGACCAGAGGAGGTTGATAGCGAAAGGCATGGTGAGAATCTGAAGAGATGCTGACGCTTGCCGATGATGATAGTGATGACCACAATTGGCAGTCGAGAAGTTATATAGATTGTCGACCAAAAAGCCCAATTGTGATACTTCCGCGGTGAACAGAGGTGACGCACTTACCCCAACCACCATAAGCCTGTGGCGCAAAGACGTTCCCCCAGGCCAAGGAAGATCAGACTTCTCCGATACTCTGTTACGGTAATGCTAGTGGGCCGTCGTTATCTGCGTTGTCGATAAATAGCAAGTGTAAATCCAGACGCCCCGATCAATGTACGCTAAAACGCGTAGCGAAAGTGTGCAAAATGTCTCCGATCAGCGCTCCGGCTTTAACAGAGGATCCACACGGCCTTTGAGCGAATTATATTTCATCGTAGTTTGGCTAAAGTGTGTGAAGAAAGGCTGAATGGTAAGTGACGAGTCGAGTTTCGCTGCGGCTGAGGACTGACGCGGGATGGTGGGGGGACGGCAAAGGCGTTCTCCTTATCTCTTGGCGCTAACCAGGCGAGAGACTAGACAAGGAGCCCAACATGGGTCCTTATCAGAACATGTAGAGATAATATGAATTGCTGCTTTTCCGCGGTGACGAACTTTCGACAGAAGGCTTCTGTTGTCAAAGTAACTTCCCAGCTCTTTTTGGCGCCTGCTGTTCCTTTGGATTCCGGAATCTCTACTTCGTGGCGTGAGCAAGAGCTCTAGTCTCGCCCAGACCACAAAGGAACCTTGGATATCGACCAAAGCCACGGTTCCAGATCGCAAACTTGCTTTTGTGGTTTGAAATTGGCGCAATGTGAGGCGTATGAGGTCCAGATGTCGAGTTTGTGTATTGTGCGGAAATGGAAACCTGTCATGATAAGCATCACAAAATGTTGTAACCAGAAGCACCCCCAAGTAGATGTCCGCTCATTCTTGCACAATTATTGCAATCTTGTGCTCAGATTGGGCACGGATTTGGCTTTGACGATCTGTTCCTCGGTCGAAGCCTGCCGCTTACGACACGGGTGCGGGCCAATCGGCAGTGGCATATGTGCCTTATCTCGCATGACTGCAACTTCGCTCCGCTACGACACCGTACCCATGATGGGCAAATCATAGTCCTGCAATGATCTGGGGAGATATATCATTGTTAATTCGCCCAAAATTTTGGAAAACGTCATCGTAGCTCCTGTGATGTGAAACTTCATCACGCCAAGTCTCGAGCAGCCTTGGGAGAGAGTCTTGGAGCGTCGGGAAGTACTGCTTATGTTTCTGACGCACAACTGAGAAACTTGCAAATCAGTGGCCTCTGTTGGCTGACATGTGAGAGAGGTGGATGTGTAGCGATATCGGAGCAATAATTATTGGAGTTGCAGACGAAAAGGTAAAAGGTGTGATGAGCGGAGAGCAGTTGGAATCAAGCATCTCCGGCGATAAAGAAGGTATTGCGGATGTGGGTCTTTTCGAGATTGTGAAATCGATTTTGTTGAGCAACCGCGGAGATGCTGAGTTGTTTCAGGCTCACTGAATTCTGGCTAGGGGCAGCTTGTCATGGCTGTGATTTGATAAGATGCTTGCAAATACCTTTACAAAAGAGACAAGATCGAGTCTGATGAAGAAAATATCATGCTTACCCTCTTCACTGAAGACCCGCACAATTGAAGCCTTTCCAATGTTCTCTTGCCTTGAGCACACCTAGGCCATATGCTGCCGCGCCACATACAACCAGCACATGCATGATCTGGTGGCTACTCCCGACAAGATCGTAACGTTTTGGATACCATCTTTCAGGCACCCTGCTTGCGTACGTTATTGCACCCGTGCTGTGACAAAGCCCAAGTGCGAGATAGTAGGACAGACTCATCCTCTGTTCCATTTGCTGCCACCCAAAGAGGTGCAAACCGTGAATAATGGGCAGAAACGAAGAAAGCCCAAGGAGAAGATAAGTTACTGTCCGGAAACCTTTAGAAGCTATGCCAGTAAAGGAAGGATGGAGTGTAGTGACTGCACATGCGAGCCCTGCGCCCGTGGCGAAGACACTGTAAGTCTTGCGCAGGTCAGGTTCGCAGCGAAAACCAAAATTGGTGCTAGCAATGGTGGTACCCCAGAGAGGTACCACGATTCCGAGGTAGTCGAAGCGACTTGTCCATATGCGGGCGCTTTGGCTGTGGTCTAGAAAGATGTGGTAACTGCGCTTAAGTGTCAGCTCTTTGCTCCCTCGTCTGAAGAAACATCACTCCTACGCCAATAATATGCGATGTATCGGTATATTCACTATTTTTGGTACATAGGACCAGTGGCAAGGGAAAAGAAACAAGGTACCACTCACACAAAGGAAAAAAAGAAGCATGCTATGACCGAGATGAAGTAGATCAGTACTGCCAACTCGTCTTGTTCGTGCCTGTCCAGTTCCCTCATATACAGCCCCAAAGCGCCCATGGCATATAGAAAACCTGCAGTGCCCCAGATATGCGACCAAATGTTGACAGTCTCATTGTGAATCTGGAACACGCTCCTGAGCGAGCGCTGGTAGGAAAAGGTTGCTCGTCTATGAACAGTTGGTCAGCTGTGTTCATGCAAAGAAGCGAAAAAAAAAAGAATAGGTAGGTTCTTACCGGTGCTTGGTCAGTATAAACCATTGTCTTGTTGCCAATGCACTGTATACATAAACTGTTAGTTGACCACCAAAAATGACTCGTGACGAGTAGAAGAACGGAGGCCCCTTACACAAGTCATCCCATTCAAGCAACTCGTCGTCGTCGTTGGGAGACACAGACTGAATAACTTGACCTCGGCCCCTCTTTTTGACAAGCTGCTCGCGCTGCTGTTGTGTTGACGTTGTGCCATAATTCCCATATCCATTGCTCTGTCCTTCCACGATCCCCGCTTCCTCTTTACTAGCGCCTTGGCAAGTAACCAATGTCATTGTCGAATCTAGATCGCAACGGTGCAGTAGTAAGATCTATCGTACAACAATTGCCACCTGCTTCAGTGTCGCACACCAGGAAAAGTATAAAGAAAACACTCTCGAACGTATTCTTGTTCGTTTTTATCGAAAGTTATCATTCTGGCCATGACCAAGTCACCAAGACGTTTGTGATGCGCCGACATGACGAAGCCCAAGAATCCGCGGAAGTGACAGCCGTGCGACTGGGGTTTTTTTTGGAGTATCGTCAGGGTTGCTTTTGGATTTTTTCCGTCTGCTGGTAAACATGGTATTTAGGAGGAATTAGTGCCGGACGGGACGGGAGGTTGACGTCAGTATGTGTGGTGTAGGGTGCGATGCCGATGCACTTCACCGCCAGCCAAACTTTGGTATAACTCTTGTTCCTTTTGCCTTTGATGTGGTAACTTTTTAAATGTTACCATGGAGCGATTACTTAAAGAGAGAAGAATGGATTGGCTGTTGATGGTATTTGTCTTCTCTAGACCACGTCACTTGAAAACGGAACTCGAAGTAGCACTACTGTTGATGGCTTACGCCTTGCATTGGTCATAGCCCCATATTTTCAGTTTGCGCCAAGTATGCGACAGCCGTAACCCAATAACCCGCCTTGTCATACCACGGAGCAACAAGGAAACAACACTTTGGGCTCGTTGGGCATTATCGGTTGATCCAAGTAACACGATATGCACATGACAGTAAGCCCAATGGCTGGCAAACATAGCAATAATAACAGGAAGAAGAGGACAAAAAAAGGGGGGGCAAGCCAGGAAGGATTAGACTTGCAGAGCCGAAAAGCGCATAGGCCGATGTTTCGAGGATGATGAAGACTGTATTTTAGTAGGTACGATGTCGGCGGACGTTTCAGGAGTACGCTGATTAGGAAATTGTCGTATGCAGGTCACTCGTGAGAGGAACGGGCAAGATGGTATTGTCTCTCGAGTTGAGGGCTTGGTATGCTCAGAAGTCGGGAAACAGGTGCCCGTGGCTATTCGGACACGTCAGAATATGATCTACAGTATAAGGAGGACTCTGCACGCACGGGTCGTCCCCTGCCTGGCCGTATGCCTCCGTCTCCTCCGGATACTTATCGAATTGACTGGCGTCACCGACTCCGGCGCGAACGGGTGGCACGTATGGAGCGTCAATATCCTTCTTTTGTAACCGGTCCCAAGTCACCTCGGCAAACCAAGGGTGGTTCATAACGTCCTTGCTGCCACCGTGCAAGTTGCCCAGTCGCTTGGTCAGATCCGGCGTGATGAGCTTTTGCAGGAGGTCGTGGGCGTCGGGGTGGATGTAAGGTGGGTACTTTACTCTCGACTTGAGAATGTTTTCGTAGATCTTCATGGGCGAGCCGCCGTCCCAAAAGGGCGTGAAGCCGCACAGCATTTCGAAGATGAGGATGCCCAGTGACCACCTGGCGCTGTTAGTAGGCGCCAATAATGGATTGCTGCTCGCGACTCACCAATCGACCGACTTGTTGTAGCCTTTGGAAGCGACGACTTCGGGTGCCAAGTAGTCAGGCGTTCCGCACAGGGTCCATGTAATGTCGGGGACCTCTTTGGCAAACCCAAAATCCGTAATCTTGAGGTGGCCGTGGCGATCCAGGAGCAGATTCTCGGGCTTCAAGTCGCGGTAGATGATGTTGTGCGAGTGCAGGTAGTCTAACGCGAGCGTAACCTCTGCGGCGTAGAACTTTGCGACTGGATTGGGAAAGCGCTATGGGAGTTAGTGTCCATTGATGCCCGAAATCACTGCGCATCAAGGGCGAAAGAAGAGAGGAAAAAGAGGAGAATAAGTACCTGTGACTTTCGCAACAAGCTGAAGAGCTCGCCGCCCTCGACAAAGTCCATGACCATGTAGAGGTTCTTGGAGTCCTGAAAGGTGCCCCAGAGGGTGATCAAGAAGGGGTGCTTGACCTGCTGTAGCATGCGACGCTCGTCATTTGTGTGCTCGACCTGCTTCATCTTGACGACCTGGGCCTTTTTCAGCACCTTGACGGCGTAGAAGCGCTGGTTGTGCTTGGACTGGACGAGGTGAACGCGGCCAAAGCTGCCGGTGCCGAGGGTGCGCTGAATGGTGAAGTCGGTCAGCGAGTACTTGCCCTTTGTGACGCGGGTCTGGTTGAGGGGCTGTGTCTGGAACTGGACGGCGCCATTCTTGGCGGACGAGTGGTGCGCGGACGAGGTGTTGGACGAGGGGGTGGTGGTGGGGGTGGTGGTGGTGTTGTTGGGGTGTATGAGATTCTGTATGCTAGGCGTGTTGCGCGAGTGCTGGGGGTTAGACTGGGGGCTTGTAGCTGTGTATTGCTGTGATTGCAGATGGTGCTGGTGCTGTTGTTGCTGCGGCTGGTGCTGCTGGTGCGGCTGCTGGTGCGCGTGGGCGGGGTTCATTGAGTCTATAGGCTTGGGGGTCGCGGCAGGCGCGCCCGGGGCGGTAGAGGCTGACGAGTTGCCGGTACCGGACGTGTTTGTGGTGGAGCTGGAGATTTGAGCAGCAGTCGTGGCGTCGTGGGCCGAGGTGGCGGTGGTGCTGGAGTCGTTGGTCTTGGTCTTGTGCAGGTGGAAGGAGCCCGACTTGCGGGAGCCGGTAGGCGTGACGGGCGAGTGCGTGTCCTTTGTGGGCGAGGCGGGCGAGTCGAGGTCGCGCGAGCCGTTGGAGTCCTTTGTGCGCTTCTTCTTGAGGAAGCCCAGGGTAGGCATTGGAGGGGCGGGTCGACTCGTGCAGCGGCGCTGCGCTGCCGGTGTGCTTCAACGCAGGTCGCGGGGGCGATGTCAGCAGTGTCTAGTGAGCGAGCGAGGGCGCGTGCATAGGCGCAGTGGATGATGGGCGGACAATGGATGGGACGATGAGGTCGTCGACGGGGCTGGTGGTTGCGGATGCGGCGTGGGCGGGCAGAGAGCGGCGGGCTTGGGGGGGCTTGGGGCAGTGGCTAGTCCTGGCTGGCTTGGGTGCGTCGTCGTAGTCGTCGTAGTCGAGGACGGGACAGGATAGGACAGGACAGGACAGGACAGGACAGGACAGGACAGGACAGGACTGGACAGAATAGAATAGAACAGAACAGGACATTTGAGGCTGCGGCGGGGAAGAAGCTGCAAGTCTGCCCGCGCATCCAAGCTGCCACTGTTTCACCCTCGCGGTTGGCTGTCCACCCTATTTTGTTCTCTTATTTCACGTGGCCATTATACTATACTACTACTGCTACTACTGCTACTGCTGCCACTACATGCACATGCGCCATCTGCTATACCAAAGACGTACGTATGTAATTATACATATGCCATGCCCTGCCTCTCACCCCACATCCACCCACCGCAGCGTAGCCAGCCCGTCCCTTGCCCGTCAGCAGCGCGGCCGCCGGAAGCCATGGCTTTGTTGCGTCATGCGTACCAGCATCGAGGAATCCCAGTCGATGACCGCAACATGCCCAGCCCCCCAGCCCCCCCAGCTTTGCTGCTTGTGCTGGTGCTGGTGCTTGCGCTGGTGCTGGTGCTGGTTCTTTGCCCACACCGGACAGGCACCCTCTCACATTGGCCCCGATCCATCCATGTATGCATGCATGCATGCATGCAAGCCCCTTTAGCGCTATCTCATTTGATTCCTGACTTGCGGTACCATCCATCACCATAGTAGAGTACTGTGTAGTGTACTTATGTGTACACCAGCCCAACCGAACCCCATGGTGCACCAAATCACAAAAATAAAAAAACAAAAAAACATGTGCATACACCGAGAAATTGGTCCACACACGCACACAAGTAGCCTCTCGTGTTCCTATGCCATGACCCAACCCAACCCAACCCAGATGCTAGACGTGACTTCATACATAAACATTGGTTTTGCTCGTTTCAGAGCTCGGCGGCTGTCCGCTCCGTTTCAGCTGCCCCACCAGACACGGCCACGGCCTCATACGTCTCCAGGTCCAGCCCGCACACTTCCATGCGCCGCTGCCGGAATCGCTCGTACAGTCCGCTCCATGCCTCTTGCGCTTCCTCGTTCTGTGGTCGCAACCGCGCCCGCTCAGCATACGGCACGTCGTACTCGGGCCCCGGCAGCTCGGGATCGCTCAGCCGCACAAACGTCGTCGCTTGCTCAAACGCCGTCGCGTTGAAGTCGTCGCTTGCCTGCCGCAGCTGCTGCGACTCGTACACGACGTTGCCCATCGACAGCGACCACTCGGAAATGAGCGAGTCAGGCACGCTAAACGTCTTGCGGAACATGTTGAGATCTGACGTCGGCTTGGATGCCCGCAGTGCCCGCAGCTGGTTGTAACTCTGTTGTGACGGGTGAATCATGAGCAGCGACGTTGACATGTCTGTCCGCTCGGCCGTCGCGGGGTATGCTGCCATTGGCTCCGACTTGGAAAAGGCAAGCAGCGAGTCGAGTGCAGACGCATCCAGCAGCACGCCTGGCCCTTGGAGGTACAGTAGGCGCTCGTAGTCTACCAGTGAATACAGACTGGCTAGCGAGTAGGACGAGGGCAGTGTGTCTGTCATGCTCATAAGCCCCTGCCAGCAATTGCCCACTGTCAACAAAACTCACCGTCTGCGCCTTCCACAAGCGGCGACATGGGTATCAGCTTCACTCCGTACCGCCTCGCTGCCGTCCGCAGCAGTCTCCGCGTAGTCGTCATCTCTGCGCTGTACTTGTTGTCCTCGGACTCGACAAGCCATAGTTTAGGAAACATCAGTATTCTCTTTGCGGGGCTCTTCATCCGGTGCAAGTCCGACAGCAGCATGACGGCACTGCACAGTTCTACATGCTCGCGCACAACCTGAACATAACCCAGCCTGCTCCAATCCATCGTCAGGCCCGAAATGTACTGTGCATATGTGTCGTCCACCTCTGGACGGCTGCCCATGGGCCTCGCCCATTTCGCATCCAACGTTGGTGGTTCGATTGGTTTGGGCGGCGGTAACGGCTTGGGCAGTCGTGGTTTAATGGCGGCTTGGAGCGAGTGTACATAGCGTTGCTGCAATACCCACCCCGACAGGAAGAGGGCAAGTGTGAAGAAGAAGACTAAGCGTGTCTGTCAGTCGAGGGGCATGACATCAGACAATCCCCAGACGTACCAATAGTAATGGACAAGAGGACCGAGACCTGCCCCGAAGTGAGAAGGAGGCGGCCCATCGCAACAAGTGAATGCGCAACAGAGGGGGGGGAGGGGGGTATCAAAAGGTTTTGGTAGTCAAGGAAAGAGCGTGCAGAATACCAAGTGGTGCATGGGCAAGAAAGTGTATAATGTGCATTGGCGTTACCTGTGGTCGAGTTCTAGATGCCCCCATGCCCGTAGGGCTGCATCTTGCCTGTCGTTGAAGGGGCAACAATCGATAACTAGCCACCAGTACAGTGCCCTGTCTCAAATTATCCCAACCCTGACCCTCACCCGCAAGCTTACCTCGACCTTCGCAAAGGGACCACGACGGTGCACGCGCAGTCCCGATCGTCGCTTGGGCCAGTATATCCGAAATCCATACAGTCAAGACGAACCGCCCCCGGCACATGTCGAAACCGCAATTTGATCGCGCCGACGCGAGCGCGCTCCTCGACGACCGAGGATACCGCGGCGCCCTCATCCGTGGCCAGAACCCGGCCCTCCTTTTCGAAAAGGGTGTGCGTGAGCGCATCACCGAGTCGTACTATTGGAAGGAACAATGCTTCGGTCTGAACACTGCAACACTGTGCGATCGCGCCGCAGAACTCAAGTTCATCGGTGGCACTACGGGCATCACAGGCAAGCCGACGCCATTCCTGTGCCTGGCCTTCAAGATGCTCCAGCTGGTCCCAGAAAAGGAAATCATTCTCGAGTACCTCAACTTTCGCGACGATGAGGACGACCAAGATGACAAAGCCGAGGAAGAGAAAGAGAATGGCGACGCGGCAGACAACGACGACGATGACGACGACTCTGCCAAGAAGGAGCTTGACTTGAATGCAGCGGGAAAGCTCGGCTGCTTCAAGTATCTCCGCTGTCTTGCTGCCTTTTACATTCGCCTTGCCTGGGAGCCTGTCGAAATCTACAAGACACTAGAGCCTCTGCTCACGGACTACCGCAAGATCAAGCGCCGCCTCAAAGACACATTTACCCTCACCCACGTCGATCAGTTCATTGATGATCTCCTTACAAAAGACCGCATCTGTGCGACGAGCCTGTGGAAGTTGCCTTCGAGGGCAATTCTCGAGGATTTGGATATGCTGGACCCAAGAGAAAGTCCGCTAGGAGATGAGGTAGACGAGCTAGATGAGGATATGGACAGGAGGAGTGTCGGAAGTGAGACAAGTTATAGGAGTCGAAGCTATGATAGTCGAAGCCGGAGTAGAAGTAGGGGCCATGACAGTCGAAGTCGGAGCCGCAGTCGAAGCAGAAGCTATGATAGTCGGGACCGAGGCAGGAGTCGTAGTCGCAGCCCGGGAGAGCACAGCATGCGAAGTCGATCAAGACGTAGCACACGAAGCCGGAGCTCTAGTCACAACCAACGTCGCAGCAATGATGAATGATAAGGGACATCTCCGGCCTACAAACCTCTTGCGTTTACCAAGTCATAATTGAATCTACGCTATATACCCAGCAGTCTCGACATCAATACAAGCCCTAATGCAGGGCACATTTCACGTATCGTTTGCAAAATCGCAAACAGCTATACACATGCCTCTACCATTACACCCCTGCCACTATCATGCTATTTTTTCGACCACGTGTACCTATACGACTGCTCTTAAGCATACGCTTATGTTGTACCCATTCGTACAGTCTGCTAATCAATTGTGGAACATGGCTAGCTATCAGATGCCCGCGGACTTGCTGATACCAGGTAGGCTAACCGCTTGGAGAAAGTCCAACCGACCATACAAACACCGAGGTGGGGAAGGGGCCCTCCTCTGAGAGATATGCAGTTCAAGTTCATTCCACGTATCTTTGGTTTGTCTGAGCCTATCGAATAAAAATAGCTGTCTCTCCTCGACGCATGGGAGCCTTGCGTATATTGCACTCTGGCAGCTCAGTAGACATCACCTGATTACCACGAGTGACGTACAAGACATGGCAAGCATGAATGTAAGTTGTGCTTAAGAAACAAAGCCAACCCTACCAACAAGCGTACAGGAATCCGACAATGAGAAACCTGGCTTCGACATTGTAGAGGCCACCATCGTGGACCACAGCGCCGCCCTCCTTTCGGGCAGAACAAGCAGTGTCGACCTGGTCATTGCATATCTAAACCGTATTGCCCGCTACGACACATGCAAGGGTCTCGGTGCCTTTACTGTATTCAACGACAATGTCCTTGAAGAAGCAGCTGCCTCTGATGCATGTCGGGCACAGGGTCTGAAGCCACGACCCCTAGAAGGCATACCCTACACGATCAAAGACAGCTACAAGGTCGCTGGAATGACTGCAACTGCAGGATCCCCCGCACTCAAGGGAGTCATGTCAAGTGAGGACTCTGCAATTGCAAAGAAATTGCGGAATGCAGGAGCAGTTCTGATTGGAAAGACAAATATGCCGCCTATGGCAGCGGGGGGTATGCAAAGGGGAATGTATGGTCGCGCAGAATCGCCCTATAATTCAAAGTATCTTACAGGAGCCTTCTCCTCTGGTTCCTCCAACGGAGCAGGAACTTCGGTAGCGGCAAGCATGGGGGCTTTCGGCATGGGCAGTGAGACTGTTAGCAGCGGACGCAGTCCAGCTTCAAACAATGCCCTCGTCTGCTACACGCCATCCAAAGGACTACTGAGCTGCCGAGGACTGTGGCCGCTGTATGTCACATGCGACGTACCCACACCGTATGCGCGCTCGGTTGGTGATATGCTGGAGATTCTAAATGTGATTGCTACACCGGACGAAGATACGACAGGAGACTTTGTGCGAGAACAAAAGCATGTGCAAATACCCCAGCCCCCTCAGATAGACTACACTACTCTGCGTAATACTCAAGCGTTCAAAGGGAAACGGGTTGGAGTCCCACAAATGTATGTCGGCCAGAAAGACTCGGATCCATACGCAAAGCCTACCTACGTTTCACCAGAAGTCATTGCACTGTGGGAAAACGCAGCCAAAACCCTCCAAAATCTAGGCGCAGAAATCGTTTACACCGACTTTCCCCTCGTTACAAATTACGAAAACGACTCCGTATCCGGTGAAGCCAATAATGTGCAAGGACAACCAGCAAACTGGAACCTCATGGAACGTAGCATCCTCATCGCGCAATCCTGGGACGCCTTTCTCGTGGCAAACAACGACGCCAAAATCAAATGTCTAGCAGGCATCCAAGATTCCGCAATGCTCTTCCCCAAACCCCCAAACTACAAACCCGACACCTTCCTCGAAGTCCGCAACTGGATCGATTACGCCGGCTTACCCAAACTCGTCCAGTCCAACAGCATCCATGAGGTGGAAGGTTTAGAACAAGCCCTCAAGGCCCTCGAAGCCCAGCGCAAACGCGACCTAGAAGACTGGATGGCCACGCACAATCTCGACGTGCTTGCGTTCCCCGCCCAAGGCGACGTCGGTCTCGCCGACCTCGAATTCAACCTGGAAAGCACAACGCACAGCCTGCGCAACGGCGTCAAGTACTCCAACGGGAACCGTGCGATTCGCCATTTGGGCGTGCCGACCGTCAGTGTGCCCATGGGCGTCATGGCGGAGAAGAAGATGCCGGTTAATATCACGTTTGCGGGCCAGGCGTATCGCGATGAGAAGTTGCTTGAGTACGCGTATGCGTTTGAGACGGCGGCGAGGGCGCGGGTTGCACCGCCGTTGACGCCGGGGGTGCCGACGGATATGGCTGCGATGGCGGTGAGGGCGGAGGCGGAGGCTGAGCCGGTGATAGATGGTGTGGAGGTCAAGGTGGACGGGAAATCAGGCTCTGGAGAGATTTCTATGGTGGTTCGCGGTACGCTGCGTAAGGCGGTGCCGCAGACTAGTGTGCAGGTCTTCGTTGATGGCGAACGAGTAGCTGATAAGACTACGGATGGCGTCGAGTGGTCTGTTACACACAGCTATGTGCCTGAGAGACCCCCGATTCTGGGCTGGGATCTTAAGCCGTTGCCGCCTAGGGATATTATGGTTCTCGTTGTTGTGACGAGAAAAGATGGCGGTGAGGGAAGTGGAAAGAGGGAGGCTAGATTGCTTTGGGTACCATTGGAGAAGTAGGTTGGTTTGGTGGGATTGATTGTGGGGTGGAACTATCGTCTTTATTCTTTTTTGTATATGGTCGAATTGAATCCTATCACTCAAGTTACTCGCGTGAAGTCGATTTCGTATTCGCCAGGTAGTAAACTCGATGTCTTTTCTTTCTTTCTTTCCAAACTGTATAATCAATTAGTACCTTGTGCGGTTGAATGCGGGTGTGTTCAACTTACTCAAGCCTTGTTGGTTTCTGTCCTTAAATTTTCAAATCACCAAATAATGCCACAAGCAAAGGAAACAAGACATCAAAAGACTAAATGGAACAAATTGAAGAAGAAAAAATGATGGAATTCTCTCTCATCCCCCTACAACCACCACCACTCCCGCAAAATCGGCAGTGTTTATTCTATACTCCCCCTTCCCCCATCAAAGCAAAGGATACCCCATAAAATCTAACCATAGATAAAAAAAAAACTCCTTGAGCCCGCTAAAACCCCGTCATGCCCGTTGCATGGTGACTTCATCGTTCCAGGTATCGTACTCCATAGTTGTTGACATGTCGAAAAGTGATTTTACATGACAGTGCACCAGCAGGATTCGTCGCAGCCACAGCACTCGCAAGACTCGCCGCACTTGGGGGCAGTGGGCTTGACGATGGTGGAGATGGAGGAGGCGACGCTGGCAGGCATTTTTGAAAGAGAGGTGTTGAGTTGGTTGTTGCTAGAAGAGTAAGGTTAGAATGGAGTTGGAGGGAAAGAGCGGTGGGAGGGTAAGCTTACTGGTAGAGAAGAGGTGGGTGGGTGGGTGGGTGAGTGAGTGAGTTGGAGTGGTAGTAGTAGAGTGAGTTTGGTTGATTGATGAGATGTGATGATGGAATAAAGTCCAACAGCGGGCAGACAGATAGACCTTTATATCACCGCCAATGCTGATCAGCTGCCTTGAACTACCAAGTTAACTTCTTAGAAGAGCGTAACAGAATCAAGCCCCCGCTAATCCGCGTTCAAGCCTCCCGCCGTTTCGACACTTGCCAGTTGTCAGGGCTATCATTGGTCTCGCAGCACTTTCGGATGCACCGCCTCGTTTGCCCTGTCATTTCTCCAGCGGCCGGGTCTGGGGTGGGGAATGGGCTACGCGTCTACGCTAGCAATACACGGTTGGCGGTGGTGGCTCAGCTGGACTTGCGGCAATAACTCGCTGGCTGTAATTGGTTGTGTGTCGTCGGCGGTACTCGTATCACATATGCAATGGAAGCATGACGGACCCCCTGTCTTTGCGCAGCCACTGCATTGCGTCGTTAAGCAGCACCAAGCAGCACCAAGCTTGTGGCGCCCTCCTTAATCCCTCACTGTAGCCCATGCTTAAGCTTCGCCAAGCCGCCGCCCGAATCTTGTTTTGGCGAGCCGATGGATGGCCCCCCACCTGGTCGAGGAGCCACACCAACCGGCGTATATGGCTGTGCTACAGGCGGAGTGGGCGAGACAACGTCTTTATCGGCGTATGATGTCGCTGTGCAGTAGCTCGCTGCGTAAGCTTCTGTCTTGCACAAAAAAAACACTAAAAACTTGCTGAGTGTGAGTACGCCGCGGCGTATGACGGTGGGTAAGTAAGCTGGAGACGACGGCAACTTTTTTTCTGTCCCTCTCGTCATCTCACCAAAGCGAATACGTAGTCTCTGGTCCTAGTAGATTGTTCGGGTCGGTATGCTCTTTACAGTGGCGCATCGTATAGATCTCCGGGGTGCTCACGTTTTTGCGGGCCGAAGGGGGTGTGTAGATGCGGTATTTTGAGCGGTAAGGACGTAGCAAACAGTCTGTAACGCTGCCTCCGTAAGCTCAAACGCTGGCCTCATACTACCTCTTCCCATGGGCGTGTCTCGAACAAGTCATCACACAGGCTAGGATCTAGCAACGGGATTTCGGATACATGTTTTGGGGATGGAAAGCGGATCCAGCGGAAGCCGATGGGTGACATGCCGAAAATGACTCCGGCCACCCACCCTGGCATGGAGGAAACGAGCATATGCATGTCAGCCACCTTCTCTACATATTCTAGATTGAAGGCAATTTGCTTTTATCAAATTCTGGCACCCAGTCATCAGGCCATTCGTGTGTTTCGAAGATGAAATAGGGTCTTTCTATCTTTGCCTTTACGCAGTACACCCGCTGTCAATCTTCGTACGGTCCGGTCCTAGCGCATCTCCCATCCGGTCACATCCGGATGACAATGCTCTCGCCCTGGAGCTGACGAGAAGCCCCCCCCCCCCTCCCAAATTACACGCAACAATGCTCTCTGCAAAAACACGGACGCAATGTCTTTACTATGGCCATCTCTCTGGTATTATGTTGTTAGTTGAAAGGGCATGTCCTGGTACTGAGCCACCTTGGTACATAGCTAGACCGGAAGTAAGAGTTTCAGCCACGATTGAGAAAAAACCACGCAGAAAGATCGTCAAAAAGATATGACTGTACCAGTTCGACGAAGAAGCACAATATTATGAAAACACACACTGGCTAGCTGAGAATGAAGTTCTATAAGCTACGCATCTAGTCAACGCCTCCCCCTCTGCAACCCCCTTCCGTACCAACAACCACATACTCCAGCGCTTCATCCTGCACCTCAAAATGCTCCTTCAGCGTAACCTCCCTAACAAACCAGTGCCACGCACACGACCTCATACCGTCAATCGACAGCTCGTTAACGCGCTGGCTAACAAAGAAATCATATTCCTCTTCTCTCGAAGGAAAAGTCTTTACTGGGCATCCAAATCGAGATAGGGGAAAGCGTAACCTACGATTCCACAATGAAGGCTTCGACGAGCGAGGTAAGCCGGGCCCGAAGAGGTGGTTTAGATACCTGTGTAAGAAAGCACCCTATTTCCCACCTGGTCAGCCCTCCCCCCCCCCCCCCCAAAAAAAAATCTCCTCGTGCTTACATCTCTTCCTTCTTATTTTTTTTTGAGAGAGATGGAGAGAGAGATAAGGAGGGAGAAAGAGGAAGTGCGGAATAGAGGCGATTACCGAGTACCGCATGGTTTATACCTACGTTAACAGCAAGAAAAGCCATGCTGGACGAGCCCGAGAACAGATGCGTGTGGATTTTTCTAGCTCTCAGAGAGGCGTAGGGGAAGGCGCCAGGGCTTGAGGAGTAGAAGGAGTCGAAGGAGGAGTCGTTGCGAGGTTTGAGGTGCTTGTCGAGTGTCGAGTCGTTGATGAGTGATTTGAGGGCCGTAACAGCGATCATGATAGTGTAAGGGGAGCTGTTACGGTTCTTGACTACTACTACTACTACTAAGATTTATTTATCTCGTCCTTGGGTAAATGGAGACTTTAACATCTGGGATATCAGAGATATACAGGCTATTGTCTTATGAATGGAAGGCCTAACAGCTCATGTGGCTTGGGACAAGAGACTCTAAAATGTACGGAATAATGGCACAAAGATTGAATGTGTTGGCCAGACTTTTGGTTTATCTTCTTGTAAGCTTAGTATCACCGCATGACTGCTGGAGGTAAAGTGCATTTTGGACATGGTATTTTGTGAAAATATTATTATGCTCCATGGGGATAGATGTATCAAAACATAGTCAGATTTTGCAGTTTGTATTATATCTATTAACCTCGAATCAAGGCATGCCTACTTTTTTGTTGGTAGAAGATTGATTTTTCAAAGTGATTGCTATTTCGTCTTCGTTGGGGTTAAATGTGTACCCGCCAAACGTTAGAAATCAAATTATTGGTAAATGATCAGAGTTACTACAAGCAGATCAAAGTTCTTACATACACTTCCACTCTATCTTCTTTTTTTTCATTTGTCCATAAATTTCGATATGTGTCAGCGGGTAATGTGGTGCTGTATGTCCCAAACTTTAAGAAGGATGCATGTAATTGATGGATTGCGTCTTTGTATAGAAACAATACTAAAAGGAAGCGAAAAGATCCGAGTAAGCTAACGCTATTCAATCCGGGCCGAGTCAAATTCTAAGCAACGGTAAAATGGAATGACCTGGACCAGCAGTTCCCTACATGATCAACCATGTTTATGCCGTACTCGCCCACAGAGCCTTCATCCTCGTGCTCCCAGCAATCAAACCGCAGGCACCCATGATGCCCAGGTTCCAGCCAGGAATACCACCGTTGGCACTGCTAAAGTGCAGTGCCATGGGGAACCAGGCGCTGGCAATGACGAAGTCGGTCCACCACCTCTTATCAAATTTCTTGTCCTCGTCGTCCTGGTACTCTGCAATTGCCTTGCCCTCGGAAACCATTTGCTGGCGAGTGAGCCTCCTGCGGCCTTCAATCTGCCACTCGCGCATCAGACGGAGGAAGTCGCACGAGACACCGCCGAGCCAGCAGCGGTAGGTGTAGAGGTACAGACGGGCAGTCTTGGGGTCGCCACGGTTGAGTGCGGAGACGACGCGGGGGGAGATGACGCCCGAGTCGGCGAGAAGGGAAATGTTTTCGAGCAGTTGGTAGACAAAGTAGCTCATGGCCTGGAGGGTGGCGATTCTATGCAAGACGACGTCTGTGCCTGGCTTGGGGCCCGAGGCAAGGGAGCGCAGCCATGCGTAGAGAGGCAGGGTGCCCGTCAGACGGAGGGTTGTGCGCGTCTTTGAGATGAGGACGGCGAGGGCGGCAATGGGCGGGACGGTGCCATTGTCGACGAGGGTGGTGGCGGGTATCTTTGTGTCATCGCATGCTGGGCGGATGAGTGACAGCAGCCTTGTTGCAAAGGCGGAGACGGCGGGAGATTTTGTCTGGGCGTAGGCGAGGATGTAGAGAGTGTAGTTGAATGTGGAGAGGAATGCGGAGAGGCCGCCTGGGGAAGCTAGCAGTCTGCCCTCGTTAGCTCATGATGCGCATGTTACGGTACCGACCAGCGACTTACTTGTTCAGCCTCAAGATCGTCTCATCGGCCTTTTTCACGCCCGCAAGTAAGCCCGTCTTGCTAACGGTGGTTGGGCGGGCAGGCGGCGCTGCGTCTGCGATCTTGTCGACGGCTTCCTTGGCCTCTGGCGTTTCGGTTGCGTCGGTTGTGTCGGGCGCGTCGAGTGGTTTCTTCTCCTCGTCAGACATGGCGGCAATGGTTGGTATATATTTTGGGGTAGGTCGGAGGGTCAGGGAATGTAGGCAGGATCAGGTAAAAGAAAGAGGGAGCTGCTTATGCTTCTCCGCAGTCTTGTCGTGGCTGCTACTCATCGCGGCGCTACCTCCGTGGGCCGAGGTCTGACGTTTTCGGCTTCTTGGGGAATTAGACTAATAACACGCTGGCTGTGTGGGCGCCTCTGCCATGTCACCAAGAGGAGATTTTTAGATTGAACAACTGCTGATACACCTCATGGCTACCACCAACCAAATCTCGAGATGCTTGACCAGAACGGGTAGGCCCTGTGTAGATACATCCCAAGGTATGATGCAGCTATGTGTTGTGTGTACCTGCCAAGCTACAGTGACTAGGAGGTGTTAGCCCAACGCTCTAACTGTTTCAGGCAATCATCTCATTCCCATGCTTCCCCATTAAGGTCCATATATGTGAGATTCATCGTCTCTGTCTATACGGTTGCTTGTCTACGCGAGACTGGAATATTTACCCGTCGCCTCATCTTCATGCACACCAACAAGCAAGCTGGGATCCTCCTATCACTATCCATACAAGTCAGCATCAACGGCGGCAGACAAATGATCAGAGCTCTCAGAAATAGCTGATACGGATTCGGATGAATACTTCGAGTGTCTAGCCAATTCTGGCCAATTTACATCAACAGACACTGACCATAGCAAACCTCGGGTCTTTGCCAGGAAAAGGGGCAACATCCGTCGAGTAGTGTGTAGCTCTCTGCTCCAACGATATGGGCCACACAATGCTATGCCGTGTACCGGACGAGACAAGGCCAGTCGTGCTGTATACACGGTGGACACCTAGTTGATCCCACCCTGGCTGCATGCTGATGAACAGGAGTTTGTTCTGCACACTCGAATGCATGCAAACTCTTGGTCGAAGCACACGCAGCAACCCAAAGACTCGGCTGCTGGTGTGTGCATATTCGAACCGGCCAGATCGGAGCCCATTGGAAACAGAGATAGTACTCGGGGTCGACTTGGAGCTGTAGCCACATGCGGCAATGGACACCAGACGACCAAACGAAACAGCCCGGGCATGGCAGACAGTACTCGAAGGGCCCGGCTAGCTGGGGGCCATGCTGCAAACATGCAGTTAGCAGCGGGCGAAGCGACCGTTGGCTGCATGGGGGCGCTGCAGTGTGGTGGAGGTGGACAGGTAGAGCGACAGCGACCGCGACCAGGGATGATGAGGGTCCACCCGCCAAGACGCTGACGACGGGCGACTGCGTTCCAGGGCGAAACACGCGCTCGCCAGCCCATTCACTGCACTGCCCTGCCCTGCATCCTCCCTCCCCCCCTCTCAAGCAAAGCGCCTCTTCTGCTCACCCAACCACTACGAGGCCTGAGAGTCCCTCATTCTTACCACCACCATCTCCCCGGCCCCAACCATCTCGCAATGGCAGGCCGATTCGTGCGCGCCTCCAAGTACCGTCAGTGTTGATGCCCAGTCCCAGTTCAGCTTGGTATGCTAACAACAACCATGCAGGCCATGTCTTTGGCAAGGGCACCAAGAAGGTACATTGGCTATAACCCCCCAAATCCATGTCTATACACGCTGACCCTTCGACAGGAGCAATGCTATGACAACCTGCGCATCACAAAGAATGCCTGGGACACCAACCTGATCAAGGTCAGCCCACTCCATGCCCACGCGACCACGACGACACGCCTTCTGACGCCCTCTAGGCAAACCCCGAATACATCTCAGTCAACTGGGAGGCCAGCGGTGGCGGTGCCTTTGCCGTCATCCCCATCAACGAGCGCGGCAGAGCTCCCGACCAACTGCCTCTCTTCCGCGGACACACAGCCGCTGTCCTCGACACCGACTGGTACGCCCGTGTCCGAGACAAGGAGCGCCATGCACACGACTGACTGCCCACAGGTCTCCCTTCAATGACTCGCTCATCTCCTCAGCCTCGGACGACGGCAAGGTCTTCATCTGGAAGGTGCCTGAGGGCTTTACACTGCACACCGATGCTGAGGAGCCTGCCGATGTTGCTCCTGTTGCTAGGCTGAGCGGCCACATGAGGTGCGACTGAGTGCTTCCGTTCAAAGCCATGCCCCTAACACGCTTCTGTAGGAAAGTCGGCCACGTCCTCTTCAACACGGCCGCCGAGAATGTCCTTGCCAGTGCGTCTGGTGACTTCACCGTCAAGCTCTGGGATGTCGAGGCTGGCGTGCCCCAGCTCTCGCTCAGGCACAATGACATTGTCCAGTCGCTATCCTGGAGCGCCGACGGATCGCTCCTCGTCACCACCAGCCGAGACAAGAAGTTGCGTGTGTGGGATGTGCGTCAGGAAAGGCCTGCACAGGAGGTTCCCGGACACCCTGGTGCCAAGAACAGCCGCGCTGTATGGATGGGCGAGACGGACCGCATTGCAACCACTGGTTTCTCCAAGATGAGCGACCGTCAACTTGGTCTCTGGGACCCGCGCAACCCCAGTGAGCCTATTGGCGGCTTCCAGATTCTTGACTCCATTTCTGGTGTCTGCATGCCTTTCTGGGACGACGGCACCCAGTGCTTGTACCTTGCTGGCAAGGGGTATGTGTATTCCAGCTGTTCTTTGACTTTTCCACTGACCACAACAGTGACGGCAACATTCGTTACTACGAATACGAAAACGACAAGTTTGAGTACCTTTCAGAGTACAAGTCTGGCGAGCCTCAGCGTGGTATTGCCTTCCTTCCCAAGCGCGGCATCAACCTGCACGAGAACGAAGTTCTTCGCTGCTTCAAGACGGTCAACGATTCCTACATCGAGCCCGTATCCTTCATCGTGCCCCGCCGATCGGAAATGTTCCAGAGCGACATCTATCCCCCCACCAACGGCCTCAAGCCCGGTGTTTCTGCCAAGGAGTGGTTCAGTGGCAAGACGGCAATGCCCCCTAAGATTTCGCTCGAGAGCATTTACGAGGGTGATGCACCCAAGGAAGTACAGAGCGACTACAAGCCTTCCAGGCCCACAACAGCCGAATCCCCGCCTGTCAAGACGGAGCAACCCAAGGCCGAGCCCACACACGCGCCGCTAGCTTCCCGCGGGCCCCCACCTTCAATGAAGGACAACAAGGATTCCATGGCTTCTGCTGCTTCCAAGTACGCAGACAAGGATAACGCTTCCGACGATGAGAGCGCATCCAGCTTCGAGGAGATTTCCAAGCCTGCAGACCGCCGTAACTTTACTGCTGCGCGTCAAGAAGAAAAGACTAGGGGTCCTGTCATAACCAAGGAACCTGAGCCGTCTTCTAGCCAGACTACAACCCCCACTCAGTCCAAGTCTGCAACAACGGCTAGCCCCTCTGCCGCATCTGCCGCTTCGTCCACTTCTGCCGCAGCAGCAAGCTCCAGTGGCCCTGCATCTGCTCTCCGCGACGCACTAGGTGACATCAAGTCTCAACTCGAGCACCAAAACAAGGTCATGTCGGACCAATCCGATCAGATTGCCATCCTGCTGCGAGAAGTCGCCCAACTCAAGGCAAAGGTTACCAGCTCTGAGCCTTCTGATCGCGAAAAGGACGAGCGTATCCGGCAGCTTGAGCTTGAGCTTGAGGAAGCTCGATCTTGATTTCCAAGGTGCGAAACCTTGGGCGATTAGCCTCAATGATACTAGTAGTTGTTTTGCCGTGAAAGATGTCATTGTTTGCATAGACGCTGTTGAAGGGGCGTGCGTATCACTGTGGCATCTGTCTGATTAGGGAGGTGAGGGGGGGAAGAGAGCAAGCGCGGACAGGGCAAAAGCAGGAGTTTGTATGATGATCAAGCGAGACTGCCCTTGTGTATGCGTACTTGATTTGTTCGTTTTTGGTCCGTCTGTCGAAACCGGGCTTTTGCTAGCAAGGTGTCTGGGTTAGCGCCATGGTCTTGATTGAATTATATATATATATATACACTTCATCTCTTTTGATTCATACCCGTTTGTCTATATCTTGATTGAACCATGGTCGGTGAGACACGTCTTGAATACAAAAGAGGGTATTGAGCAACTTGCAACAAAAAAAAGACACATCAAATACAAAACAATCAAAAAGAAACAAGCGTCATTCTACTCTGCAGACTCGCCCATGAACTTGCCCACTACTTATGTACATTGCAAGTAGTGTCCAGCCAAGGGACTTTTGTAGTTATAAGAAAAAGGGCCAGAAAATAGGAGAACAGAATCGGGTAAAGTAAACAAGAAAAAGAAAGATAAAGAAATACCGAGAGAGAAAAAAAAAGAGGAAGAGGAAGAAGAAACCCCACAAACGACCTGAACACTTCAAGAGTCGCTCCGTGTGTACTTAACTTGGCTAACTTGGACCAGCTGGTAGATAAGTGAAACAGCCAGTCAGCCAGCAAAAGCCAAGAAAAACATGGGGGAAAATATGTATATAAAATCCCCCTTCTCCTTTCCCCTTTCCACACATTGTCGTTGCCATCCCAAAAACCCGACCCGGCCCAAAAAGGGGAGAGGAAATTCTCTCCATTACTCCAGCCCATCCCATTGTTCACACACACACACACATACACCCCCAAAAAAGACAAAAAAACAAAAAAAGGGACAAATTCATCACGACACCTCTATCGCTTATGAAGCAGTCTTGGTCTGCTTCTTCGCAGTACCAATATGCGTATTGTGCACCTTTGTCGCAAACTTGAGACTGGTAATCGTTTCTTGCAAGTGCGCCTGGAGCGGGCTAACCATGACGAACATGAGAGTCTTGGAGTTGCCGCCGAGTGAGTATTGGAGTAGGTAGGTAAGCTGGTGGTAGTTTCGTTAGTACAAGAGCAAAAGATAATACGATATCCCACACATACCTTTGAGTTTCTGTACGGAATGTGGCCGCCTTCCTTTGCTGAGCCGAGAGCGTTGATGACGTCGCCCAGACAGCTCAGACTCTTGTTGATGTTCTGCGTTTCTTTTAGGCGCGCGCCTTCGACCTTGGAGTGCTCGAGTCGCTCGGATCCGGCAAGATCGACTAGGTTGAGTGTTCCCTCGCTCCGTTCACCCGTAATGTCATTGGTACCAACGAGTCTCAGAATGAAGACTGAGTGACTTCGACTCGATCGCATGTTGGCTTTTGTAGCAGCCACAGTCCTGTTCTTGCTAGCTGTTTCGAGGATCTCCTCAACACGGCCAGGGCCATCCAGCATCACGCTCACGGCATTGTCCAGGTTAGTCTGCTTCTTCACAGGGTCGTGTCGGACTTCGACCTTTTTCTTATCCAGGTCTTCTGACCGACCAAGCAAGTCATTGTACGTTTCGTTGTAGACCTCGATGAACGAGCCCTCCATTGTGTATCGCCAGCCCTTTTCTTGCAGCCGCTGCGCTTCGTCCCAAATCTGAGCCGTGGCACGCGGAATCATACCGTCAGCTGACGACATGGTATGTGTCTTTCCAGATCCGGTCTGACCGTAACAGAAGATACACACGTTGTAGCCATCAAGAGCGCTCTGTACAAGCTGGCTAATCTCCTCGAAAACCTCTCCGTTCTGGGACGTCGGACCGAACACACGATCAAACGAGTACGAGTATGAGGCAGTAATGTCCTTGCCAGTTGCGCTCTGCTTGCTTGGACCAGTAATGGCGACTTCCTTGCTGTCGGTATCGTTGTCGGGGAAGGCAATCTGCGCCGGGTCCCTCTCGGTAGCATGTGCTGGCCGTACACGGCACATGACTCGGATGTTGCCCTTAAGCTCTTGGACTTGGTTGAAGAGCTTTCGGCGCAATGTCTCTTCTTGTCGGAGTTTGTCGTGTGCTCTTTCCGCAGCCTCAATGGCATCTTGCATTCTCTTGTGAAGGTCGTTGAAGGCGGATGACTGCGCCTGGCTGTCAGATTCAAGAAAGTTAATCTTCTCTTTCATGGCCTTGTTCGCTGCCTCCAGGGTAAGGTTGTGTGTTGTTGCTTCTGTTAGTTGGTTCTGAAGACCAGTCTTGAGGATTCTTTCGCGATCGAGTTCTGACTTGACGTTGGTGAGTTCGCCTTGCAGGAGCTGTGCCTCGCGTTGCTTAACATCTGCATCTAGAGCGGCAGCTCGAAGTTTGGAAGCATATTCTTCCTCAATCTTTTGGGCCTCTTGTGCGCGCCTGCTCCGCTCCGCTTCAGAGTCCGAGTCGAGCTTCTTGCGCAACACTTGAATTTCCTCCTCATGCTCTTTCAATAACTTGTCGATCCGTGCCTCGAATTCAATGCGTGTCTTTCTCTCTACCTCGTCTCGTTCCCGTTCCAACCGGTCAGTGTCTTTTCGGTGTCGCGATTCCAAGTCTTCAACTTCGTTGCGCAGCCTCCGTCGTACGTCATCAACTTCATATGTGTGTTTCTGTTGGGCCATTTCCAGTTCCATCTTGACTGATTTGAGACTGGTACGACTATCGTTGAGTTCCGTCTCGAGTCCCTTGTTCACAATCTCTAGGCGTGCGCGGATGGTTTCGAGCTCGGTGACTCGGCCTTGGAGCTGCTGAATTGATTCCTTGTAGTCAGTCGCTTGTCGCACATCCATCTCCATCTTCTCCTTGAAGGAGCGAAAATCGCGTTCCATAGCTTCCATGCGCTCATTGTAGAAATCTGGACACCGATCGTTAGTAAAACGGTTTAGAAATGGCGCTGGCTGTGATCGCCTCGGCGTGATTGATATAGGCCGGCGAGGTGATTGGTCTATCTGCTGCTGCGGTCGCTGTCGCACAGGTGTCTGTACTGGCTGAGGGAGTCGTGGTAAAGGAAATTTTGGCTTAAGAAAGGAGCTCGTGCCGTTGCCAGAAGCCATTCCGCGTCCGGTCCGACTTTCATGCCTCTCTGCCTTGGATGCAACTAGATTGAGCGCTCCAAGTCCAGTGCAGATGACATCGCAGTCGGTCACGACGGGCTCTTCAATGACCGGAGTGACGGGACGAAAGGTAGAAGGAGGAGAAACTGTTCGGGACTCTGGCACACGAACAGGCTGTACTTGGAAATCACTCAAGAAAGTTGTGCGCTGCTTAGGGACTGAAAACATCCCTCTAGATACTGTGACATGGGCGTATGGGGCTGAAGAGATAAGAAATGGATGCACACCTTTGCGCTCTGCTTGTTCACTGTCGTCGTCATCTGGTCGATTCATCATTGACGTCGCAGGGCGGGATGCCTGGTGGTAGGACTTGCTCCTAGTGTGTGTACTTTGGCCATAAGCCGATTTCGGCCTCGTGGTTGGAGCGGGTCTGGGAACAGCGCCGACACTGCTTGCGTAGGCAGATACAGATGTGCTCTTGGCTGTCGGTTTGGTCATTGTGCGCGAGGTCGAGGCTGCCATGCCGCGAGCGACAGCGGACTTGACGCCATTGGCGATCTTGGAGGGTGCGGGTAGCCTTCGCGGGGCGGGTTCGGGGGCTTGCTCAGCCAGTGTCCTCCGTTGCTTGAAGGCCGGCTCGGGCACTGTCGTGGTCAGTAAACGGTGTGCTTCTGGGGGGGGGGTGTGGCGAGGGGTAGAGTACAGCCAGAGGGCTTGTGCTTTGCGGTAGGTATGGGCATTGCGCTGCGCACGTTGGTGGTGGACTCGTGCAATTCACCGAGGGCGCGAGTGGGTGAGGATGGGATGTGGGAGAATGTTGATGGCGGCTTGATTCCTGAACGTTTGGTGCTACCCTTAGAATGCGTTAGATTAGACATGAACGGGCCAGGGGATGGCTCTAGGGATACCCACAGCGTTCTCGTTGGCGGACTCCATGGTGTGATGCGTGGCAAAGTCTAACGAAAGAAGGATATCAACAAAGCATGCTCCGTCGCGGTCAACAGCACTGGCGCGTCCAGAGGCGGTTGCGGTGATGTTGCGGGAGTGTGGTGATATCCAGTGTTTGGGTTGCGCCCGGACGGTAAACATACAAGGCGCGACCCACCCTCCCCGTAACCACACGCTAGACCCTGCTCGGCTTTAGCGCCGGTACTCTCTCTGTCAACCTGCTGTAGAGTACAACCAGCGAGCCTGCATGACGTTCGGCAGGGCAACCAGGCTCATTCATCCATTCATCCGTTCGCTCATTCATTGGGTATCCCCGCCATATACTATGTACGCTATCAGATATCTCCCCCAACGCCAACGCGCCGTGCCAATGCCAATGTCCATGATAAGCCTACCATCTATGTACTTGCGTGCGGAGGAACAGCCCGTCTAAGTAAACACAGCTACATGACCATGGAAACCCAGAGTCGTCTGCATTGCTGCTTTGGAGTATGCTATACCTGCTTCACAAACGCTTTCACAACGTTAGTCCCCTGAAGTCTGAGAAAAAAACATGTCACGAGTAAGACTTACTGGCATCAATCTGCACAACCTGTGGTAGCGCAAGTCGGATCTTGTTCCTGTACAAGGCTGGCTGTGCCCGTTGCAAAGGGTTCCCCTCGAAGTATACCGTTTCCAGTTCCTCCTTGTCTCTCAGCTCTCGTTCAATCTCACCAAAGTCGCTTAGTTTGCAGTTGCTCGCCCAAAACTCGGTAAGATGCTTGAGCCCCTTGAGTCCTCCAAGGTGCTCGATGGGATTCGCGCTGATGTCAATGACACTGAGATTGACGTTGTTTTCTAGCCCCGACAATTCTGTAAGCAAGTTGTGCGAGATGT